GTCATTTTGTTAATGCTGGCCTACAACACCATGACGATCCTTTTAGGAAGTGATGTTTTACGCTCTGTGTTGATTTATTGTATCATTACTGTTTATGAGTTCGTGCCCCTTTCAACCGGCGATGACTTGGCCGTATTTGTGTGTGCCTTTAATGAAATCAAAATTAGTTCTAATAAATAATATATTTGTTGTGATATTTCAGATTTTTCTTGTGGGTTTAAAAATAGAGCAAAGATTGGTTATCGAAATGGTAAATGTATGTACTTAAAGGAGGTAAGGGAAGAAGGGAACTAACTTTTATATATTCTTCTGCAATATTGTGTGTTTAAAGGAATCAAAATTATTTGTAAAAAGGTACATATTTGTACTTTACTTATAGATTTAAAAATTCAACAAAATTTGGCAATCTATAAATGGTAGATGTATGTTCTTAGCGAAGGTAAACGGAAAATGAACAGCACTTCTTCTTCTGTAACATTGTGTGTTGAAAAAAGATACCAAAATAGTTTAAATAAATTAAATATTTATTAACATATTTAAAATTTTAATTGTAGATTTAAAAATCCCCAAAAAAATTGGCAATCTAAATGGTAGATGTACAAGCCTAACAGAGCTAAATGTCATAAGTTTAAAGGAAAGTCTCAAGTTTCTGGCATATATTAAGTATAGTTGTTAGTACACTTAATAAACTAACTATAGATTGTTATATTACACATTATATTTATTAAATTACAAACCTAACTTTACCATACCTACCTTAAAAACTCCACAAAGCACATGCATTCCAAGTGTTAAATGTTAATCTTTAACACAGACAAACGAAACATTAAGAAAGTCCATAACCTCTGGCATCCCCCTTAAAAAAAAAATACAAAACCATCTTTCTTTTGAAGTCCGTTGCGCTGTTTAATAATTATGTTTTACCCTTTTATTTGAAGAAACAAATTAATATCCGCTTAAATGCTACAAATATCATTAAGCATCTTGTGCACACAAAAACACACTCGTAACAACACTAATTTGAATCGACCGAAATACAGATGGGCTCGTGACAAAGTACCGATTACTATTCGTTCCGATCACTCTAAGTATTCACAGCCTTTGCGATGCGTCTTTGATGTGCCGGCAATAACAAAAAACATGATGGTTTTGTTAATGGATTTCTATAAAGGCTTCCGACTGTTAAAAGACCCGACTGTAGGAACACCCGTGGCGATAATTTAAAGCCACTGTCTAAGCCAGCATACCTTTTTATACCCTTGCGTGGGGTATGCCACTTTTGGCCTTTTCAACTGCAAACGGTGTTAAGAAAAGTCATTTCAACTTGGGAAAGCTTATGGTTCGATTGGAATTAGCTTAGGGGGATCGTTTTTTTTTTTTTAATTTCAAGTAGGCCTAACTAACTTTTCATCATTAAAATTTAGTACTTCGTTACCACTTATGGCTACTATTTTCTTTAACGAGTTAAGGTTTAGTTGTGTTTACAAATTCCATAAGTATATATGAATATATATGCATGTGAGGACCTTATGAAAGCAAATTATGTGTATCGAATTTTATGATTTCAACGCAGAGCCTTCGTTGTACCTGTAATTTTGGTCCCAGCTTCGATCTCTTTTAGCTCGTTGAAAAATTTCAACTTCTTCAAGGGTCCCAAGCGATTATGCAAATGATTTTGGCTGGGCTCCAAACTACAAAGGATTATGAATACAAATTTTGCTGGGCCATAAAGTAAACAACCGATATTTAATCGCTGGTTAATAGGATTAGCTTTGGGAAACAAGAAAATGGTTGAGTGAGGATGGAATATAAGGTAACTGGGGTACAATTTTTGTATGCACAAAATGTTGCCTACTTATTGGCGCAAAAGTTTTCTTTAAATTTTTGGTTTATATTAACATATTTTGCACATTTTTTCTTAATATGGAATAAATACTTTTCGTGAAGATTTTCTCTATTTTTAGAGAGCTGAATGGAAGTGGCTTTATTAAAATAATATCAAATATTAAATAATTTGTGTTAATTTAAAAGGGAAAATAAACTCAAGATTGTTGAACTTAATAAGAAGACACATCATCAAAAATTTATACTCGTATACTTTCCCATACTTACTTTTCACTTTTTAAATAATATTTTTATACCATTTTTTCTAATCCACCTATACACCATAAAACATATATAAAATCCTTCATTGTGATTAAAAACAAGTATCAATTTGACCAATACCGACACTACAATTCAAAATACATTTTGCAGTAATGAAAATCTGATCTAAAAAATAACAATAACATGTCGTGTTGCCTCTGTAATTACACCAAGTTAAATATTTACATGGAATTCCCCGAACCTTCGTTTAGTTTGTGTTTATCAAAAAAAAAGGCTAAAAATCAAAATTAAAGTACAATGTTTTATGTTCAAATATTTTTAATTTCACGGTAAATATTTAGGTAAACAATAATGACAGAGCCAAGAAGTCATTTGTTACATTGAGGCATGGTGTTTTGTTTGTAACTAATTATTACAGCATAATTCTTCTCGCAGCTGGAGTTGAAAGTAAAGATTGGACTGGGCCTTTCATCTTGCCGCTAATATTCCGTTTCTACTAATTTGACTAAAGCAAATATAATTAAATCGGCTAAAACCGCTGGTTTTGTATTCACCGACGGGCGGGTACCACCATAAAGATTTGGTTTTCTGTTTATTAGTAAATGATTTGAAATTTGAAGTTCAAGAGTGAAGGGAACTGCAGATGACATACTTTTGAAGCCTTTTTAAAAAATGGCGATTAATTGAACAAAAAATTTAGTTTATTTTCTTAACTTATGGTATGTTTTTCCAAGATCTATCAAGAACAATTTTAGATATGAAGTTCAAGAGTGAAGGGAACTGCTGATGACATACTTTTAAAGCCTTTTTTAAAATCCGTCACTTTTTAAACACAAAATGTAGTGTATTTGCTTATCTCTTGGTATGTTATTTTAAGACCTATCAAGAACATTTTTTAATAAAAAATAAAAACAAATTCCTTTGTTAGCTTGGCATCTGTAATACTTATAGTTAATATAAATTACCGACCTTACTTAGCCAATTAGAATCTACTTATGGGTTCGAACTGATCGCGTTTTGAAAATGGTTTGATAAGTTAGTGTCTCGCTTAACTGACTCGGGTAAATATGTACATAATATTCGCTCAGCCTTAAGATTTTGTCACATTTAGTAAATTATTTTTTCAAAGATAAATTATATTTGTTTAAATATGTGAATTTATAAAATATAAACCTGAATACCTTAACTTAAGCAGTAATGCAATATAATAATTTAGTAATAAGTTATAGTTTGAAAATAGGAAAAGAATGAGTCAAGTCCTAAAGCTCGTTTAATTACTAATATAATTTTTAATTTAATATCAACTAAAAATTGAAACAAAATTGAACGATTACTAATTTATCTTGGCAGGTATGTAATCCTTAAACAATCGAAAAACTTTCTCCAAAAACTGACTGAATTTTGCCTTTTAAACAAGCAAGAAGATGACTTAAAAGTAGTGCCATTTCTGAAACTTAAACTACTACTACTACTATGATCTCTCAAAATGGCAATCATTTTCACATTTAAAAGGTATGGTTAAGTTAAGATTAAGTAAAATTAAGAGTATAAAATAGTTTTTACTACAATTAACTCTGTTATCCTGCAATATCACTAAGAAAAAACTCAGAACGAATGTAGATTATAGTTCGGACAAATAAGAAGGATAAAAAGGAGACTAAGAAATATTAAATAGCTTCAAGCGTTCGAGGACTTGTATCCATGTGTTTATGGCCAAATAACTCAGCTGTTGTATTCATTAGGCCTTGTTCTCTCTCCCTCTCCTTATTATTATTGCTGCCTTTATGTTAATAACCTGAAAGTGTTTTAAATTTCACGCGTCTTGCTTGTTAAATACAGACATGTGTTTATTCCAACCAGAAACAAAGGACCGACGCGTTCCGAAAAATTATTCACAAGTCCAAATTACTTTAGTGGTGATATTTTTTACATAATTAGGGTGATCTGTTAGTTAAGAGAGGCTAATAAGGGGATCTAAGAGATAGGATATGCACGATAAGTGAGGGCAGTGATCCTATTGCAGTCAATGTTGTTATTTCTATTATTGTTGTTATTATTTTACTTTAACCTTTTTTATGACAAAACAATAGTTTTGATAGGGAAAAGTTTACAACCCAAACTAAACTTTCTATATTTATTTATAAAACGGATATAAAACTTACTTTTTAACTATAGTTTTTTGAAAAAGATCGTTGAGTTGTATTGACTGGAAGGAAAGTATAACCGAACCGAAATTCGAGAATTTAAACTTCCTATCGGAAGACTTCTAAGCTTTATTTTCAATTCGCCTTTTATTTTCCGAAAAATTACTGACAAGTTGAAATACATTTTTTATATCCTGCTTCCCAAGAACTCAATTAGTACAATTTTTGCCTAATTAGAAATATATTTTATAAATTGTATAAACATTAGTTATTAACAATTTTTGTAGCAGGAAATTTTGAATGATTTTTTTAGCTTAAAATTCTTCTAAAATTCATAATCACTATACTTTTCAGATCTGTGATTATTTCACTTTTTGTATTCTATTTAATTGGAGCGATTTTAATGCGTGTTTACATATTGAAAAAAATCAGAATATGACACCTTAAAAAAATAAAATTTAAATACGAGAACAATGTTTTTATTTTTATTTTTCACATTGAAAAAACTGCTTTCTAGTATTTGGATTTGCAGTGTAGCTTTTTTGTTTTATGCTTATTATTATTACTAATCACGTTGTTGATTTAATTTCCTAAAGTTCAATATAGTTTTTATCAATTTAATTACCTCATAAACCAAATCAGATTTTTAGACTGAATATAGTAGAGCTTGTGCGCTATTTCTCTCTTAAAACTTTTCTGACTTTTACTAATTATTATAAACCATACTTTATAAGGTCGAAAAAATAACAAAAACCTCGCAAAAATATGTTTTTCTTATTGAACACACTTCATATTTTACCTAGAAATTGACACACAAAGCTAATAAGTCTGATCCTGCAGTTAGAAAAACTGGAAAACTAAGGTAAATATCGGTGATCACTGAACCTTACTTACGCTCATGATCTCAGTCATTGCCCAGTGCTAACTTTTGTAGATTTGAAAACACTTTTTTTGTTCAGTTATTTAAATGTTTATATTCTTCACAAAATGATCGATTTATGCACTAAGTTTGATACAAATAAAATAAATAATTTACTAGTACGGATATGTAATACAAGCTAATCAAATTTGTATAACAAGCTTCTATGTACATGCCATCTATGCCTAGGAAAGTATACCATATACTCGTCTATATATATATATGTTTTGGTCCTATTACAATTAATCTTAATACAAAAGGAACTACGTTTGGATGGATATACATATATCGTTCATAAATAATGCTATACATAGGTGTGTGCGTGTCTCTGGATCCGGCTATATCATATATCTATATCGTACGCATGTCGTTGTCTATTCTATTCTGGACCTCGGGTGTCCGATATTGCTGAGCCGGGGCGACGAGGGTTACGTTATTGTAGTATATATTATGCATATTGGCAATGGGCGCCGCCATCATGAAGAGCGGATGCGAGATGGCCAGTTCGTAGGTGGTGGGACTGCTGGGTATCCCCGAGGCCTGCAAACCGGCCACACTGGCACCCGTGGCGTAGTGCAGGAAGGGCACATGGGCACCGGCGTTTATTGTGTGCATCGGCGGCAGGGGATCTTCGGTCCGGCTGGATCGACTGGCGGACAAATATTCCTCCGAGGCGGCGGGCGTTGTGGGATACCGACTGATACCACTACACTCCACCACATCAATATCCACACGGTCATCCTCATCATCCTCGTCCTCCGAAGGATGTTCCGGTTTGTCCGGCGTAATCAGACTCTCTATCGTGAAGGATCTTTTAGGTCGCAGGCTCAATGGTCCCTCGATATCGGAACTGGTTAGCGCGGGCAGATTGGACAGACCCATGTCCGAGAGATTTGTGTGTTCCGCACTGGACATGGAGCCGGGCATTACGTGCGGCATAGGCACACCTTGACCCAGGGAGTTGGGCATATGATTCGTAGCCCTGGGCAAGGGATCCATTCTCATTGCGGGACTATTCATGTCCAGCGGTGACATATGCGACGCACTGCCTCCATTCCGGGTGGTAAAGAAGAATCTATTGAGGTTTGCCAGGGCAGTCAGCTCTTCGTTGAGCAGATCCTTGTCGTTCTTGTGCAACTTGAAGCGTTTCCTCCGCCGGAGCAGACTCCCGTTTTCGAACATATCAAAGGCCTGCGGATGAAGGGCCCAGTAGGCTCCTTTTCCCGGTCTGTCCGGCCGTCGGGGTACCTTTATGAAGCAATCATTGAAGCTGAGGTTGTGCCTTAGCGAATTCTGCCATCGCTGAGTGTTCTTGCGGTAATACGGAAATCGGTCTGTGATAAACTTGTATATATCGCTGAGCGGTAGCATTTTCTCCGGGGAACTCCAGATGGCCATGGCCGTTAGCGAAATGTACGAATACGGGGGCTTCTGTTCGCCGTAGGATTCTCGCGAGGGCCTGGGCATTATTACACAATAATTGGTTTTGTTTTGCTTAACACATCACAGTGTTACATATTTGTTTATGGTAAGTTATTGATTCACTATCCTTTAATACTATTCATAAGCTTATTTTCTTCACAAAAATCCTAAATGAATTTCCTTAATGAGGAGTATTTAGTAAGAGTGTGCCGAGTACCGTCGCAGGAACAGGAACAGGAACTGTAACTAAACACCCAATGGGGGCACGGTGGCGATACGACATGACGATATGATACGGGCCGAGATAGCGACGCGAAGCGACGGCAAACAAGATCGCGCCAACTGTCGGCAATAAACTCTGCGCAAGAACTACGCTCGTTATAAGCTCCGGCGACGACACTGGCTTTAACACTGGCACTGGATGTAAAAGCACTCTCACTGAGGTTTCCCCGTGCCTGCTTGCCTTCTCCAGCACCTCCTCGTACTCCACCTCGTTCCCTGGCAAATTACCATCAAAAGCTGAATACGAATACGTGAGTGGTAGTAGTAGTGGCCATAGTGGCCTATACGGGGGGGAGGTGTGGGCTATAAAGCCAGAGCGAACTTGGGGCGAAGATAGCGATAGAGCGGGAACAAAACAAACGACAACAAACGAAGAACACGGCACACAAAAAATTACTGTTTCAGCAGACTGGCAGACGACGTGCCGGTTATTGTACTAAGTGAGCAATGCCCTCCCCTTGTTGTCCGTGGGCCCGTGGCCCGGTCTCCTCCAGTGTGTTCGGTGTTCGGTCCTCAGTCCTCAGTCCTCAGTCCTCCGTTCGTACAACCAACCACAGTGAGCAATGCAATCAAAATATAATCACTCACATCATTGCCCCCGTGCTCTCTCCCAATCACCGCGATGCGAACATGCATCATCCCTCCGCCACGGCGAAACTTCAAAGCGGCGAGGAGAGCCAAAGCAAAGAGTCTGAGATTTACTAAACGAATAAACCAGTCTGACCAGACCGCACTACGCCGCTCTGGCGAAGAGCTAATGCCCCGCCGGTGGTTGCGACGGCTACACTTGGAGAAAACTACCCCCTTAAACTTGAAAAGACTTTGAAGTTTTAACGAGGGAAAGTGGGCTGAATGGTCATAAGGTAATATGAATCCCTATACCTTATGGGTTAGAAAGAGTAACCTTGTTGTCCAATCTTTCCCGTAAAGTTATGAACTATTTTTATAGCATACTTTCCGTCGGCTAATCGTGCCTATAATGAGTCAATTTCGAAAGCTATTAATATGGATTTATTTATTTGATAGATTTAATCTATTAAAAGAAATATTGAAGTACTTCTTATAGCTTAAATTCAGTTTTTTATTAAAAATTAAATTAAAAGTTTAAATATAAATTTCAGATATATTTCTTCCTGTGAGCTTTTGATAGATTCAACCCACACTCGATTTCTTTTCGTGTAAGAGGGGAGTATCTCGTCGGTTTTATTTAGCTTTGCCTTTGCCTTTGCCGTTGCCCCAGCTCAGCTCCGCTCCACTCTGCTCCGGACAAAAGAGCAGCCGCCCCGGCAGCTGGTTCTGGCCATGGCCGGGACTCTGGCCGCGACTGGGACTCTGGCTAACGGCCCAATGCGAGAGAGGTGTTGAAAAAGAAAATTACAACCACTTTACCGATTTACTGATTTTACGTTTTCATAATCTTGTTAGTTAATTTGCCTGCTTGGGACTCGGCCATGATTCCACAGAACGTAAAAGCCAAAGCACATTGCCACCGCATTCGGCGAACGTGTGGGTTTGAGCCTGGTTTTTATTTCTTGTGTTTTCTTTTTTTTTTTTTTTTGTAGTTGGCTTTTTTTTTAGGCCATGGGCTGCATCGGCTGCGATTTCGCGAGAGTCGATTTAACACTAGGATGGATAATTGTCTTTAATAGTGCGCCTGATAGACCAGCAAATCGCAAAACCCGCTGGATGGGTGTATTAAATCGCATTAGCTATTAATGAGTCTTGCATTCTTCCCATTTTCGGAGTGTAAATTAATGATATCTGGCTAACACACGAAAACTAATGAGTAGTTAAGCAATGGTAACCAAATGCTTGGGGGTTTAATTGAATTTTAATCACTTGAACTATTTAAGATCTGTTTTATACTATTTTTTTGGATATTAAACAGGGTAAAAAGATAAGAGCTGATGTTGAATTAAGAAAAATACCTTAAACTAATTACTATCTAATTTATAAATATTTTATTTCAATTATTTATTAAGTAGTTTCCTGGAGTTTAAAGTTTTTATAGAACATATTTCCTTCTAAAGCTTTCAAGTAATTAATCCCCCTTACATATACTCGACTTAATTAAGAATTTATTTATCTGTTTTTAAATAACAATCGCATTTGGCCATAATTGTGCCGTTCATAGCGATAATTAGGTGCTCGGTGAGCGAAGGTTAACAGCGATGTGCCGCACTTGAAGGGAGGCAAGCTGGCTGAAAGAGAGCGAATGGATATGGGATGTAGGTTTGGGTATGGTTCGAGTAAAGCTATATGGCTATATGACATGGAATTCCGAATGGAGTGAGCTTCTCTCGTCGGAGAGTACCGCCAAAGAGGGATGGCAAGATATGGACGTTATCTGGCATCTCGCTCGCTGGCTTTGTCTATATGAACAGAGAACAGAGAAATAAAAAAAACATAAAACCTAGGACGGGATTGGCCATTGGCTGAAATCCATTTGTTGGGGCGGAGCCATATGGGCATTGTAATAAAATTGTATATTTTAATTTAAGTGGACATATGAATATGGCCACGGTAGCACTTCTGATTAACCATTAACGAGTTTTAAATATCTACAGAAATTCAATCAGCCCGTTAAATTACATGCTATAAATAATTAAATTACCTCGACTCACATTGTCAGGCAGTTTTACAACGAAATTATATATAAATATGTGCTTTACATAATTTATATAATTATGAATACACATATTGCTAGCAATAATGGGTTTATCATTTCATTCATATTGGATTTCCTCTTTTTTTTTTTTTTGCTCATGCATGTGTGACATTAATTGAGACCACGCGGCCATACTTTATTATAATAATGGAGTGTCCTCCATTGCAGTTTCTCCTTCATGTTGGACTAAACTTCATCCCTAGTGACTAAAATAGTAAAGACATAATTTTATGAGTTTTGGCAAGCACTCTCAGCTTGGTTTTACCCAATCTTTTTCCCTTTCATTAAATTAGAATTTATTTTTCCTTTAAACCTTGAAAAATAAATCATTTTTGTGTTTGTACAAAAACAGTTTTTTAACAGTATATTAACACCTAGAACGTACTTGAACTTGAAATGGCAAATAAGAAGTGCAAGTTCTGTACTTCCATAGCTCAAAGTCTTCATAACTCAACTTTTTTTGTGACCAATGGAGGTTCTGAAGCGATTCTTGGCACTTGCAGAGTAGCAACCTAACGTCTAACTAAGATAAAGTTCTGGTCAGTTTTCATTTTCACATAGGAAAAAATCAGCTTTTTTCAAAATGCTTACTTTAACATAAATAGTTTTAAGTTTAAGCGAGTTAACAAGCTTAAATGCGAATAAATATTATGTTTTTAAACCCATGCTTATATTTAAAAAAACAAAAACTATTAAAAATTACTAAATATTTGATTTTAATTATTTATTTATCTAAGGCTAACAATTAGTTAAAACTAAGAGCTAACATTTGGCTAGGAGCAAAAACAGCTAAGGCCTTTAGCTCGGCTAAAATTAGAATATGGCTTAAATAGATTTAACTTATGCAAAATATTACTGAGGCTTATTATTTACATTATATTTAAAAAGAAATTGTGATTTACTTAAATTTGGGAGGTGATTCAAGAGATGTCTAGGAACTTAAGAATCTTTAAGGAGTTTGTTCTTTATAATCTTATTGTTTTTATGCGTATTTGTATATCAAATTTGGTTTAAAAACATGTATTTTTATTATCCTCCTTATATCAAAAGTGTTTCCACTTCTTTCTACTTAACAATGTTATTTAAACTGATCAACTGTATCTAGAAATTCATTTAATTTTAATATTTTTAAGACTGATCTATTTATATCGCCTGGCAATGCGTATAATCCTAGAAGTAAGAGTGTTCCTTAAGGGGTCTTAAATGTACATACAGGATTATCTCGCAGCGCGATTAAGTTAAATATAAAGAAAATTATTAATTAAAATTGTAATAAAGAAGTTGATAATATATATATGATAAATATGATTATTGCTTAGAAAATTCATTAAACTTCTTCTTTTAAAAAACCCAAAATTCCAAGATATGTAGATGGATTTCCTACATGAATCTTCAGAAATCTAGGACCTTTAAACCCATTTACCTATGCCCAAAACATAATATATGGTTTCTTAAATAGATCAAATTAATTCTGTACAAAAAACCTGATATTATTAAAATCAAAAACATGCTTAACAGTCTTGTTTGATTAAATTAAAATATTAAGTTTTCAAAATGCTAATTACCTTTAGTTTGTGATAAACTGAAATCATAAATCTCCTTTATTAATATAATTGCTATTCATTTTTCTAGTTGTGTTTGCCTGAGAACCAACACCTTTTCTCACAGCCCATAACATCCTTCTGCCCCAATTTGGTCCTGCAACACCCAATCTATTCATTTTAAGCGTGAATATAATTTAAAATTTATTTAAAAACCATTTGCTGAAACATGAATAGGCGTTGAAAATGTGCTAGCGTGACGAACGCTGAACATAAATTTACATTTTAGGCAGAACCATATTTTTAATAAAATTATAGCCGCCGAGGTTTGCTCAATCAAATGGGCAAACGTACACACACCGAGGCATGTAATGTAACAATATAACAACAGATACAATCACAACAAATTTCACGCCAAACAATTACAACGCATTATAAGAATTTTGTTGGCAGAGGGATGGTCAAGGTATTTAACCCGCAACCATAAATCTTTTCATACTCAGTTTGTGGTTGTGTTGCTTTTACTGTTGGCTACTTGGATTCAGATTCAGATACAGTCTGAGAGTCAGACTGAGAGTCAGTACCCACCCAGTGGGCTTGACATTTGCCTTGTAAATGCGTAATAATCAGGACATCCGACAAACACAAAGTTACGCTTTAACTCCATTCGCTTCGGTATACGGTTAACAGTTGTTACAATCATCCATTTAATGTCGTACAACACCGAAACGGAAACCAATGAAAATAAACACAAAAATCCGTAAAAGCAAAATATACCCTCTACCCTCTTCTGTGGTAACCCAAATTAAAAATCTATTTTTCGCCATAGCTGACAAAAATTGCTTTTACATAATCGACAATTTGGCCTGATATCTTTGCCAGCTGCACAGTGATTTTCATAATGGACTTCCAACCGATTCATTGTCAGTCTATATATTGCAAATCTCGTTTTCTCTCTCTTTATAAAGACTATTATTAAAAAGTCTGCTAGCGCTTAGGTGGGCCTTCTCCATCTTTAAACAATTAAAAGACCCAAATTGGCAAATGATTATTAATATCACACAATTTTGAAAGAAATACAATCATTAGTCGGAAATCGCAAAGATAGAACAATCATAATTTTGAAAACTTCAAGTTTATTATTAATATTGATGGATGGAACGAATCAATTTGCCTATAAGTTAGTTTTACAATTTTTTTTCCGTGTCTAAGAGAGAATTTAAATTAATTTATTGTCTATTGTTTGGAATCACCCACGAAGTTCTGAGCGCAAACTGTGGCTTAAGATTAATCTTTTAAAATTTTGGCTAAAATGAAGCTAAAAATCTGGCCTAAATAGATAAAACAAGAGATTTTTATCTTAAATGTTAAAATAAATATCCTGATTATTATTTATATCTTTTGATTCAAAAATTTCAAGTTTATTATTAATATTGATGGATGGAACTAATCATTTAGTCTATAAGTTAGTTAACATTTTGTTTTCCGTGTCTAAAAGGGAATTAAAATTAATATATTGTCTAATATTTAGGATTACCTTTCAAAATATAAACCCAAAGTCTTTTTTAAGATTAATGTTGTTGTTTTTTGTTGTTAAAACAAAAGATCTTAGTGAAAACGAATAGATTTTTAAACCATAATATTTTAAATAATATATCAATATATTTTATAATATTTGTAAAACAATTTCAATTGCAGCCCAGGATTCCAAAGAATAAGAATGGTTTTGTATTTGGCTTAAACCTTAAACCAAAAACAGAATTGATCAATAAGACCGCTTAACAATAAAGAAGTCTATAAACTCCTGTTTATTTATTTATTGAGCATCTTTTACAAATAATAAAGTATAATACTGGATCAAATTGTGTTTAATAGCGAACGTTAGGCGGCTAATGCACCACCTGTCCAACAAAGCGTAACAATGGCTTAAGAAGTAGTTTACATTAAATGAAAGCCATAAATTAAAAAAGGAAACTGCTGGGCTATGTGTCAGAACCGTAATTAGAGATATTGGCTTTAAATAATCGAGCGGCACTCATTTGTTCACTTTTTACTCGCCGACAACGCAGCGGCACGCCTGTGTTTAAGATCGAACCACAGAAAAGGTGTTAGAAAAGGGCGATCGGTAAAAAGGTAAAAAGGCACACACGAATTCTCGTTTTCTCACATGTGGATATATATATGTATATATAGGTATCTGTGTATGTCCGAGTGCTCATCCCCTTTATTGTTTCATGGGACTGGTACTGCGACTGGGATCAAGTTGTATGTGGTCCAAACGGAGCGAAATCGTATATTAGTGGACGTGGAGTTTCCATGCTCCGGCCTGCTGATCATCGGCATTACCAGTAATAGGCTGCCAGGTCTAACAGCCTGTGCAGGGCAGGCTATTTAGGAGAATGCGTTCCATCATTAACATCAGACAGCTGTTAAATGATAGACAGAATTAGTATAAACACATTTAATTATATGGTTGGTGTTGTCAGGTGTTTTACACCTTATTAGATCGTGTTAACCTTTGATCTAACTAACTGATATGGAACACCGGATGCAACTCAAAGCGTTTGTCTTAGCCGTTAACAATAGGACAATTTAGCCGTCACATTAATAATTGAAATTTGTATTTTATGAATTTTAAATTTTGGAAAATCCAATATTTTTATTATTTGAAAAATGCCTTAACCTTCAACGATAATTTAAGAATCGTTAAATCCGTACATGTCGCTTTAAAAATTAAATTTAAATAAAATACCAAAATGATCACTATTTTTATGAAGAATATTTAACAATAACAAATTCTCAAACATTTTTTTCAATTTAATCTTGAAGAATTTTATTGAGCATCCAAACTAAACTGCCACTAAAATTCGTAATCTGAAAGAGCATAAGAGGGCGTGCCCAAGACTTAAGCTTGCTGCAAGATTTTTAAAAGAATTCGTCTGTCGTTTCTCTGAGGGTATAAATTCCTTAAGAACTAGGCGGTATTCCAAAATTCTTCAGACCATTTCTTATTAAGAGCATATTTTATAAGTTGGGAAACATTTTATATCTTATATTTATTATTTAATATAACATTTTTCGCTTTCCCCGCTTTAAAAATAATCTGTGCAGTGTATCGGCAAAAGACAAGAACACGACATTTGAAATTACGTTTTACTTTAAAATTGAAAACTCCCTCTTTAAAAATGATTAATAACAGTATAAAATCATAGTTTAAAAATACAACTCTTTTATTTTTCTTAAACTTCATGGTGCCCTATTTATGTCTCATACAAAGATTCTATTCGTCAGTTTCCTTATTGATTATTCCAGGATCATTTGAGAATATAAGCCTTTTCTGCGAGGTGTTCATATACGGACGGTTGATCCATTCAGTGTCAGCTGCTTTTATGTTCTCCAACGTTCCAAGTTTAATTTGATACAACTTCAAGGCAAACCTTGGCCCCACTTCACTGAGCTCCAGTTCCTTGTTCACATATTTGTACTGATGATGTCTAAATATAATCGAATCATTGTGGTTTAAGAAGGACATTACTCTTTGCGAGTTCTCCTTCGGCACGGGAAACAAGTGTTTCAGTATCTTAACAGTTCTCAAACCAATGGGTGTTTTGAAATTATTAAAAATTAAATGCGGCTTCTGCTCGCTCATGTGTCCAATGTCGGGAATATCATGTCGCATAACCACATCGGATATGTTGAAGAAGGCAGTTGGGCCATACGGAAGATGACAGACCACAAGGCTGTCCGGAATACCACGATGCTCATGGACAATTAGGAAATCGGTTACATTATTTGCACGACAGGCATGCATTAGTGTTGTCAGCTGGTAGTTTCCTCTGTTCATCTGTTGGGCATTTGGAATGATCAGCCGAAGTTCCTTCATAAACATTTTCAATCTGGACGAGGGATTGTGCGAGGTGGTCAGCATGATTTTAGGATCCTCACATCCGGCATAATGGTATTCATCATTAACTATGCGATCGTCAACACCTGAAATAAAAATAAGTTTATTATTAGTGAATATTTTAATCAATTCAAGGATGGATAATGAAATGTATTTTTCAAAGTATAGAATTATAGATAATGTACATAACAGTACATTTTAATAATAACGTACATAGATAGAAAGCTTTTCTCTAACTTAATATAAAACACTAGTGGTCAGTTACCTATCATTATTTAGAATTTTCTTTGCTATGAAGACTGAGTATCGCCATTCAAATTATACAAATTTAAACTATGGATAATTGCAATAAAATCAACATTAAATGTTTGCTATCGCAGTCTGCCGTCTAAACACGCATAGGAAATTACTATATGATACTTGTTAGTTCTAAACAGCCATTAAAATCGCAACTTGATAATTAAGAGTCACGAATGCTCCTTGCAGTTCTTTTAAAAATACCCGCCATTGAGCTATTCCAATTGCTGTTTTTATTTGTCCCAATTTATCTATAAACATGAAGGTACACTTTTTAAATTATAAAAACACCTAAATTAACTAAACATAAGTTTTAAATATTTGATAATAATATTTACCATCATCAACATATTTCAGCGACTTGTAGGCTGTGAGACTTTTCTTCACGTTTTTGGAGCCGATCGACTTGTTTTCATTAATGGCCTGGACAACGGTCTCCTGGATTTTTTGCTTGGCTTTTAGGCGCTCGGTAAGGGCTTTATTATATAGATATTCCCTTCGTTGTCTGGCTTGTTTTCGCAACATTTTTATTTGTTATTATTTCTGCTTGCACGTGTACGGTAGAAAATAAATGAAAACAAAACTCACACCACTTAAGCAGTGCCGATAACTTATCGCCAGCTGCTGCTGGAATGGGCGGAATAGAAACACGGTGAGGAAATGTATACCTAACTTTTTTTGTATTATCAATTTTTAATATTTCATCTTTTAATATCACTGTCGATGTTTTATAGGAGTTGTAAAAAGTTTATTTAAAGAATTGACATTACTGTTAGTTAACTACCTACTTTGCACCTTCAACTGTTTTTAAGCCGCTCTTTACCTCGTTGTTATCTTGACGCACACAAAAATATTTACGACTGTTTATAAGACGTGCTTGTGCACATTGTTTGTGCAAATTATTTAAGTAAAATGCATTTACCAAGAGTTTAAATGTAGCAGAATCGCAGGACAAAGCAATATCAATTGCTTTAATGACTTAACTTAAGGGTTGTACTTAAAACTTCGCGTTGCTGTGGAAAACTATGGCATCGTCAACACAGAAGACTTAAACAAATGCGGCAAAAACGTTGCTTAAGCAAAATCTTAAAATGGTAAATAAAAAAGTCGGTAGTTTGGTCAGAAATACATTTTAACGTAAATATTCATTTTTGTAATACTTTTAGCAACATCTTCATATGTGTCTGCTTTGCTTAATTGCATTAGCGATACTTTCATATTTCGTCCATCAGCGACCTTCCTGGGTAACTGATTACAAGGGAAAGGTGTCAGTTAGCTATGAAGCGTAAGTATAAATCCATAATATTAGATCAAGATAGGTTTCTTTATATAGTTTCAGCATTTCAAAAGATTTAAGTCTTTTGCTTTCTCTTAGTGTTTTTATGACTTCTTTTATTTTGGTCATTCCGGTTGTTATAGTTCCCGCTTTGCCAAACAAAAAGTCATTTTGGTAAAACAAATATAGCTTGTTTACTTAAAAAACAGTCATAACTGAGGCACATCATTTAAAGTCTCTTACCCACATATTAAGTAGGCCGACCACTCTTGCTTTCAAATGAGTTCAACCTCATTTGAATGATTCACATTAACTTTCTCAGTTCCGACTAATCAAATAATTTTACTTTGCAGACAATCTTGGAAAACCCCGCTTTATATTGTGGTGGTCTGCTGTGGTCAAAGAGTCCAGGAGACTCTTGTTATGATCAAATCGGCCATTCTATTTAACTATGACGAAGAGTATCTTAAGTTTGTGATATTCACAGAAGATGGAAAGGGTGATGAGTTTAGAGAAAAGTTGACAGACTGGCGGGACATTAAACCATTCACATTTGACTTTGAAATTTTGCCATTAAAGTTTCCAAGTGGCAACGAAGTCGAATGGAAAAATCTCTTCAAGCCCTGTGCAGCTCAACGTTTATTTCTGCCGGTAAGTGTAAAGAAAAAATAATAAATATTTGAATTACTAATAAGCACCTTTTTTCGTAGTCATTGCTAACAAATGTGGACTCATTGCTGTACGTTGACACGGACATATTGTTTTTGTCACCCATCTCCGATATTTGGCAATTCTTTAAGAAGTTCAATGAGACTCAAATGTCCGCTTTGACGCCAGAACATGAGAACGAGAACATCGGATGGTACAATCGATTTGCACGGCATCCGTTTTACGGCCGGTTGGGTGTTAACTCCGGTGTGATGCTAATGAATCTCACACGGATGAGAGAAATGAAATGGGAACAACATATCTTGTCAATTCATAAGGAGTACAAGCTACGTATTATATGGGGGGATCAAGACATTATCAACATACTATTTTATTACCATCCCGATAAGCTGTACATCATGCCATGCGAATATAATTACCGTCCAGATCACTGCATGTATATGAGCATTTGCAATATGTCTCATGCAGGCGTCAAAGTAATCCACGGCAATCGTGGCTATTTCCACTCAGACAGGCAACCGCTGTTTAAGTCTATTTACGAGGCTATGGAAAATTATCAACTAGGATATAATGCCAACACCGATTTCTTAATGCCCTTACATGCGACATTAAGTATACCATCCGTCAACGAATCAAGCTGTGGAAAAATATCAAATGAAGTATTAAAAGTGGCGAATACAGTTTTAAGTAAAAGGTACAGGGAAGTTTAGAATTAGAATAGGTATATTTGTAATATACTACACTAGACTATTATTAGGAAATGTAGCAGTATCATCTATATCGAAATATAAACGTGTAAGTCATAGGTTTTAATGAATTTTCATGTTTTATATATATGCAATAAAAATGTATATGTTGAAAGATCAAGAAGTACTTACGCAGATAGGTTTAAGATCTAAAAAGTACTTTTAAATGAAACTTGAATTTTTATTTGTATTAAAACGGTCTTAGCTAGGCAATAAATATTCGTTTGTGTATTTGCATACAACATTGACTATGAACACAGGCATGTATTTTCTAAATTAGATTTGATCCATGGAATGAATTTGCTCACTCTTGAGTAAACACCTGGATATCCTTCGCGGCCGCATCCGACGCCCCAGGAAACAATTCCGACGATAAAATACTTAACTCCATTAGATAACAACAGCGGTCCTCCACTATCGCCTTGGCATGAGTCCATAGATGGCCTGCCGGCGCACAACATCGATGAGGTAATTCGAGTACTTTTGTATTTTTGATTACGGCATTCCGTGATGGACATAATTGGAACCTTCACTTGATTAACAATGGATGGTAGTTCTCCACCTTCGGACGTGCGTCCCCATCCCACAACAGTTCCAATTCGACCTAGAAAGATTTAAAATTCATTTTTCAATTATAATCCCCTGAGAATTCTTAAGTGAAAGTTAAGAAATAATTACCAGCGGGATCGTAGTTAAAGCGGGGCAGACAAACAGGCTTTATGATTTTTGAAAACGAAATAGGCTTGCGAAGTCTCAACAGAGCAATGTCGTTGTTGTAGGTATCTGGGTCAAAGCTTTTGTGTTTTATCACGGCTGTAACAGCCCGCTGAATGGCCTGGGACTCCGAGGTAATCTCTTGGTCATGGTCTCCGAAAATAATTCTGATTTTAGATTTTCTCAATTTTTTAACACAATGAGCGGCGGACAGGACATAATCCTTGGTCAGTAACGAGCCACCACAATGAAATTTTCCATCATAAACGATTCTAAAATAATATTAAATATAAATTAATGTTTAATTTCACTTTTTTTTAAATAAAATTTTTAACAAACCTTGCCATCCAAGGATACTGATTCACACCGGTTGGTTTGCCTCCCACAATTCGTATTTCTTCATTTGAAAATCCACAATCTATGGAAAGTAAAAGTAAAGTTAAATAGGTTAAACACATGGATTTAATTTATACAGAAATTTCTACTTTACCACAATCACAATTCTTCAGGCTGGAATTCTCTGCATATTCAACCTCGTCTTCGGTATCCGAAAGTCCAAAAGCATTTGATACACCCGAACTTATGCGAAAAATAGTGTCAAATAGAAATTTACTGGTTCGTTTACTTTGGCCCGTATGAATCGTGTTTATAACTGCGGACTCGTTAAAACCTTTTGAATATTCCAAGCACATGAGACTGGAATAATTCATCGTCAACATCCAAAATGAGAATATATATTTAAAATTCATTTTCACGAATTAGTTATCATTGTTACAATGGGTTATTTTTTTGTTTTTATGCGAAGTTGATCAAAAATTAAAAAAATTAATGCATTTTGTTTTAAATAACAAAAAATTGCAATGATTAACAAAAACAATCAACAAAGTTTCTGTAAATACGGCCTAAGAATAAATAAAACTGTGTAACTAATTAATGTAACATAAAATATGTACTAAGTCTGAGTATTATGTGGCGTACGAATCGCTTAACGTTAATACAAAATGTGGGAATTAGTCATAGTGTGGCCACATATTCAAATTTTTACCTGGTCGCTTCATTGGTCCACTTCATGGTCACCGTTGGTCAGCTGTTTTATAGAAATTTTCACTTTTAGAAAGTAAAAATACCTTTTTCGGCTTTTAACCCAGCTAAAAAAATTGTGTATGGATCGGATAAATATTTACTACACCACACAATTTATATTTTATTCACGTTCAAAAAATGTATTTTAGTTTTTATATTATATTGGTAAATTTTGTTTACGTTGGTCCTAGTAAGACTAATTTTCAAAGTGTAAAACAATATTCAAGATGCCTTTGAGGTAATTTCCTTATTATTATATTACATTTTTTATAATTTTCGTTTGTTGTATTATTAATTATTAAAACATAAAAAATACAATTTTATTTGTTTTAACAGAAACATTTTAATATAAAACGTTTTATCTATGCAAGGTTTTTGTTCTCCAGTCGAACAAATCATCCACACTGCAGTCTTCCTCACTTGAACTTAATTCCGGATCCACTTCCACTTTAGGATTAACTTTCCTTTTTTTATTCAAGAGCAGAGTTTTCTGATCATTGATTTTTATAAATCTTTTCCAATTATCAATTTGTTCGTCTATTTCTTTGATGTGCCTCTTGAGATTGATATCTTCCTGCTCGTCGGCTACTATAACACTGGATTCCGTGTCAGCCCTCTTGATCTCCTGTTGGAAACGCTGCCATTCTTCGTCTTGGAGGCGGGCTGCTTCAGATTTATTAGTCTTATCATCGTCGAAGAATTTATCCGGCAGTTTTTCGGAAATAGATTCATTGGCAGTCTTGTTACTTGGAATTGGCTGATGAGTTTTATCTTGAACAATTGGAAGACTCTTCTCTTGGGTGTTTTTGGGGATTTTCTCAGGATGTTCACTAGATTTGACTATCGGAGAAGGAACTACTGATGAAGGTGCTGATGACTCCTTTGGAGCAGTTACAGTGGAACTGGCCGGCTTATCTATCTTATTCTGCTTAGCTTGGTCCACATTCACTTTGTGTTGCTTGGAGTTGATGTGCACCTTCCAGACGTTGGGCTTGATGGGAATCCTGCAAATTATACAGGTCAAGGTTCCTGACGAGTCATACGTGTTAAAAATTTTAGTTAAGGAAACCTTGTTGAAATTTATTGAAAAACTTTATAGATAAATATTGAGACCTAAAATGTGAACATTACGTTCTTCAAACAATTAGAGCTACTATAAAAAAAATAGCAAGATTCAAAAACATATAAATAATGCTCCTAATTGATAAAAAAGAACATATTTATATATTAGACAACACAAATTGTAAATAACTTAGTTTGAAAAACGCCGGCTGAAAATATTATTCTGTGTTACTGATCTTTGAATTTGAAAAGGATATTTTGCTAATGGTGAATCCACTGTGACTGCTGGCTTTTTAGAAACGCTAAGTTTCTTTTGAAGTCGTTTAATATTTCCATTATTCATGTTAATTCTTAATATTGTTTTAATTTGTTTAGAGCATCAGATGGAAACAAGTTCACTCAACTAGTTCTTTTTATAAATATTGATTCTTTTCCTATTTAGAGATGAGCGGTGCGACGATGATTTGAAAATAATTGTTATATAGGGAATTGGAACAGAGCAATACTAAAAGAGTCAACACAATTTATAATAATAATAAGTTCGCCATTATATATATATATATCTAAAAGAACTTAATAAAACATATTGAAAAAAAATGTTGAAATGATCAATTGTTACAGTTGTATTGCCTTTACCAGTTTAAAATGCTTGTGGTCAATAAAGAACTGATAAACTTAAATATGAAAAAACTAAAATCAATCGACATATAAAAATAAAACTATAATATGACTCAAAATAAAAAATATAACATGAACAAAAAACAAACATCTTTATAACATCTCGAAAGTGATATAACTGGTCCTTCTTATCGATTGTACTATCGATAACAAACCTCCGTGCGAGTTGGCAGTCAACCCGGCAATTTTTTTAGACTACGTGTCTAAGCGAAGAATGTGTCGTTGCATTTCAGAACGGTTTTAATTTTCAAGTTAGTGGCTGGAATAAGGACATGAATCGGACGCCGAAGATGCTGAACAGCAAGGTGGCTGGCTACAGCAGCCTCATTACATTCGCCATCCTGTTAATTGCCTGGCTGGCCGGATTTTCCTCTCGCCTCTTCGCCGTAATCCGCTTCGAGTCGATTATCCATGAGTTTGATCCGTGGTTTAACTACCGGGCCACCGCCTACATGGTGCAGAATGGTTGGTACAACTTCCTTAACTGGTTCGATGAGCGGGCCTGGTATCCCCTAGGCAGAATTGTGGGTGGTACAGTATACCCCGGTCTAATGATCACCTCCGGTGGAATCCACTGGCTGCTGCATGTACTCAACATTCCGGTCCACATCCGCGACATTTGCGTGTTCTTGGCACCAGTATTCAGTGGACTGACTTCCATCTCCACCTACCTCCTGACCAAGGAACTGTGGTCCGCTGGAGCCGGCCTCTTCGCCGCCAGTTTCATCGCCATCGTGCCCGGCTATATCAGCAGATCGGTGGCTGGATCATACGATAATGAGGGCATTGCCATATTCGCACTGCAGTTTACCTACTTCCTGTGGGTGCGCTCCGTAAAGACTGGATCCGTGTTCTGGTCCGCCGCAGCTGCTTTGTCTTACTTCTACATGGTGTCCGCCTGGGGAGGCTACGTGTTCATTATCAACCTGATTCCCCTGCATGTCTTCGTGCTGCTCATCATGGGCAGGTACTCGCCCCGTCTGCTGACCAGCTACAGCACCTTCTACATCCTGGGTCTGCTGTTTTCGATGCAGATCCCCTTCGTGGGATTCCAGCCGATTCGTACCAGTGAACACATGGCTGCCTTAGGAGTGTTTGTGCTGCTGATGGCCGTGGCCACTTTGCGCCATCTCCAATCCGTACTGTCGCGTAATGAGTTCCGGAAGCTGTTCATCGTCGGCGGTTTGCTGGTGGGCGTTGGCGTCTTTGTGGCCGTTGTGGTGCTTACCATGCTGGGCGTTGTGGCACCGTGGAGCGGACGTTTCTACTCGCTGTGGGATACTGGCTACGCCAAGATACACATTCCCATCATTGCCTCCGTGTCGGAGCATCAACCCACCACTTGGTTTTCGTTCTTCTTCGATCTGCACATTCTTGTTTGCGCCTTCCCAGTTGGAGTGTGGTACTGCATTAAGCAGATCAACGACGAGCGTGTTTTTGTGGTGCTGTACGCCATCAGTGCGGTATACTTTGCCGGAGTGATGGTGCGTTTGATGCTGACACTTACACCCGTGGTGTGCATGCTGGCTGGAGTGGCATTCTCGGGATTGTTGGATGTATTCCTGCAAGAGGATTCATCGAAGCGAATGGGCACAGCCGTAACCGCAGCCGCAGAAGTTGATGAAGCGGAGGATTCCATTGAGAAGAAGACCTTATACGATAAGGTAAGTCACTATTATAGCAGACCATTTCGAAGTGGTTTTATAATCCCCAATTTGCAGGCTGGTAAACTGAAGCACCGCACTAAACATGATGCCCAGCAGGACACTGGCATCAGTTCGAACCTGAAAAGTATTGTTATTTTGGCCGTTCTAATGCTGTTGATGATGTTCGCTGTTCACTGCACCTGGGTAACCAGCAATGCCTACTCTAGCCCCTCCATTGTGCTGGCTTTCCACAACAGCCAAGATGGGTAAGCTACACATTACCTAATATTATATAGTTATATATTTAACCATTTTTACTTCTGCAGATCCCGAAACATTTTGGACGATTTCAGGGAGGCTTACTTCTGGCTTTCGCAGAACACTGCTGATGACGCTCGCGTTATGTCTTGGTGGGATTACGGGTACCAGATAGCAGGAATGGCAAACAGAACCACACTAGTGGACAATAATACGTGGAACAATAGTCACATAGCACTCGTTGGCAAGGCAATGTCTTCGACCGAGGAGAAATCCTACGAAATTATGACATCTCTTGACGTGGACTACGTTCTGGTAATCTTTGGCGGCGTGATCGGCTACTCTGGCGATGACATCAACAAGTTCCTCTGGATGGTCCGAATTGCCGAGGGCGAGCATCCCAAAGATATCAAGGAAAGTGATTACTTTACTGACCGCGGTGAATTCAGGGTGGATGCCGAAGGTGCTCCGGCTCTACTTAACTGCCTTATGTACAAATTAAGTTACTACAGATTCGGGGAATTGAAATTGGACTACAGGTAGGCGGACAAATGCATTCCAGGTAAAATGGTTTACTAATTACCCTTTTCAGAGGACCCTCGGGATACGATCGCACTCGTAACGCAGTCATTGGAAACAAGGACTTCGATCTGACCTATCTGGAAGAGGCCTATACAACAGAACACTGGCTTGTTCGTATCTATAGGGTTAAGAAACCGCACGAGTTTAACAGACCATCTCTGAAAACCAAGGAGAGAACGATTCCCTCAGCAAACTTTATCTCTAGAAAGGTAGTGTACTTTATGGTTTTAAGTAAACATCAATAACAATTTTATCTTTTTTTCAGAACTCCAAACGTCGTAAGGGCTACATAAGAAACCGACCGGTTGTTGTTAAAGGAAAACGAACCTTGAAATAAGCGCAAATAATAATTGTATTGATCTTTCACCACTATATAAAAACCTTGGTTAAACACTTTACACATAGCACGTGGTTTGGTGAAAGTGTTTCCGCCGCATCCTCATGTTGAGGGCTTGAATTGCCGCCTCAAAATCAAATTCAACATATTTCCAAACTCGTGTGACACCATTTTTATCGAGTTGCTTATTTAATGAAATCCCCGGTTCCTTCGATTTAAACAGTTTCGCGGCTCCACCATTCATTGTCTTAAGCTAGCAATTCAATAAAGCAGAGTGTACATTTTTAAACCTTAATTTTTTGTGTATATTAAAAATCATAGAATTTCCTTACTCGGAGCGCAATATTTCAGTTTAATTACGCTGCTAATTATCATTACGACGTCGTCGTTGAAGTTTTCGATCCAAGTCTCTTGACTTTTGCTTCTTGGGAGGTACGTAAACAGATGAACTGAATGCATTTTCAGGTTCACTGGGTTCATTCAGACCAGAAGACTTGGGCAGGACCAAGTTGGTGGTGTCGAAAGTGAACTCGTCATTGGAATTGGCCAGTTGCCTGCGAAATACGGCGGCACTGTTTGTAATCCGGGCTTTCGGATGGGCTGGTGGTAACCACGAAACGGTTTGAGTGGTCGAATTGTAAAAATAATATGCCTTGCAGCCCTTATCGTAAACATCTTTCCATCCCGTCTCCAAGGGATACTTCCGGAGCAGTCTCTTGTAGCGCTTCATATACTTATGACTCGGATGCGAATGCGGAGAGCTGTTGAACTTATTCACGCAGTATAAGGAGCACTTATGGTATATGTTATACTTGTTGGGACATAGCTTATATCCATGATACGACTCATTCACGCCGATTCGTTCCTTGATACGGTGCGACCAGAATTGTTCTTCATTGTTTCTACGCTTTGGTTCCGGTAATATATCCTCTTTGTATGGGTATGGACCGCTTTTGTCATCGTCGTCGTAGTTTTCGGCAATAATTTCTTCTATAGCTTCTGAAATCGGTGTGGTTCCTGACGGAAAAAAGTTGATTAGTTTACATATCCGATGTAACGTAATTACTATATTATGTTACTTACCCGTTTGTTTAGTAACAAGTCCACGTTTTTTTAAGCGTTGTAGTAATGCAGCCGGTAGGCTCATCTTGATTATTTACCAAGTATTGTTTACGTTTTGGTAAATCAAACCTAGAAAATAAACTTCATATATTATAATATGACCATAGATATATTTATGATATAATGCCTAACACAGATGATGTTTAAGTAGCGTTTTCAGAGGAAAGGGCTTTACGGTCACATTATTTTCAGCACCTCAAATAATATTTCAGGTCAGGTTATTTTAGCTGGATATACTTAAATTCTAGACAAATATGGCCGATAACGCAGAACCACTAACTTTGTCAAGAGGTAGGGATTAATAGGTACATTACTCAGATCAAGGAATCTTACTCAAATCCCTAACTTACAGATGTCAAAAGATCGATAGAGCTCTTGGAAAAGCTGCAAGCTAGTGGAGATTTCCCCACAACAAAACTGGCAGCCCTACAAAAGGTATTAAACTCCGACTTCATGACGTCCGTCCGGGAAGTATACGAACATGTTTACGAAACGGTGGATATCCAGGGATCCCACGACGTCAGGGCTTCCGCAACTGCCAAGGCCACAGTGGCTGCCTTCGCTGCCAGTGAGGGTCACGCACATCCCCGAGTGGTCGAACTGCCCAAAACGGAGGAGGGTAAGCCACGCCCTTATAATATACAAAACCTTTAAATGAAAGTTTTAATGGGATATAATGAACTACAACTAATTATAAATTCTTACATGAGAAGCTTATATTATTTAAAAATATTGCTTTCTTTAAAAATTTAAAGCACCATTAATTAGATCATAACAGAATACAGATCTTGTACTAAGCATCTTATTAAAATCCCTTAATAATTTTTTATTTTTCAGGCCTAGGTTTCAACGTAATGGGAGGCAAGGAGCAAAATTCACCCATCTATATATCCCGTATAATTCCTGGAGGAGTTGCAGACAGGCATGGAGGGCTGAAACGAGGCGATCAACTTCTCTCTGTAAATGGTGTGGTAAGTCATTACATTATTACTAAACTAATATTCGTGATTACAAATAACTTCTTGTATTTCAGTCTGTTGAAGGAGAAAATCACGAAAAGGCCGTTGAGCTGCTTAAACAGGCTGTTGGATCTGTAAAGCTGGTAGTACGCTACACTCCAAAGGTTCTTGAAGAAATGGAAATGCGTTTCGATAAACAACGCAACACACGTCGCCGCCAATAAAGCACTTGGGCAAACAACTTAAGCCATAGTAGTTTTTTGCCACTAGATCATACTATTATTCACGTGTGCGTAAATCAAACCCTATGCGAATAATATAATTTAATAGGTATACCATTTAATTATTATTTATTACAAACGATAAACTCCGAAAATAACTCTTAAATCGTAAAAAGTGAGTGTTATGTATTTTTACCTAAAGTACTGTGTTGGTTTCTGTTCCAATAAAAGTAAAAGAAAATAATTGTCAAGCAAATGTGTACTTTTTGCCTTTTTTCCCAAATTAAACACTTTTTCTTTGATTTTTAGTACGACCGCCGTAGAAAATATAAAAATTAATTTTTATTGCTTTCTTTTACAACGTAGTATTCCGATTACGTTTCACAACTTAAGAAAAGGATCGGTTTTTCAATTTTTTAAGGAAATCCTTGGCCTGTTTATCACCTAATCTGTATTCCAGGGCTCGAAGCGAATCGGAATCTAAAAATATATACATTCATTGTTTATTTGATTCTTTGGAAAACTAATAAACATACCTGTATATTCTGGTCTGGATAAATTCATCATAATTTGTTCACCTGGTGGTGTAGCCTCGAGATCTCCGAAAGATATATAGCTCTCAGCTATATACTGGCTCGACATTCCGAATAAATCTTTATCTTTGATACTGAATACAATAAGACTATTTTTTTCACTCCGCTGTTGCTCACTTAAGTTTCTGTTAAAGAAAATGATCAATACATATTTAAAAAATATTAGCATTCTGATTACTTACATACGAAACTCCTGATCGTAAAGTGGAAAACAACTTTTATTGTGGACGTTAGTCTTCACTGTTGATAGATCATTGAATCTGCTTGTGGGCATGAAACTAGCTTTAACAAATGAGTCCACTGAGCCATTCGAATCCATTGGCAGTAGGTTACGTGCGTTTAAAATAGTTAACTATAAAATATATGTATAACTTAAGCAAACAGTAAACAAGTTTGTAATGGTTTAAGACCCACCAATAATCCGGAATCAGTTAATTGAGCCGTAACAGTGAGTTGTCCGTAGGGAGATGACTCTTGACTCTTTTGGTTTTCCAGACGTTCCAGGTAATACTGATGAATAAGATCTGCCGTTTCCAGGGAATACAGTCTTAGTCTACTTTGAATTGAAGACAAAATCTTAACGTCCGAAGTTTGAATGTTTCCCATTTTAAAACAATCCATCATCGTCTGTAGAGTGTTGTTAAGGTTTTGGAAGAAAGCTGGCGGTCGGCGTTTCTGAAAGGAAAATTTCGTTTTTTTTTTAAACTGTCAGGCACTTAATAACAATTAACTTACGTCAAGGTTTGATTGAATCAAGTCATACATTATAATTGACAGCTCAGACCAAATGCCATCCAATATTCTTTGGAAGTTAATTTCGTTAAGAGTATCATAAAGTGTGGTCAACGAGGCTTCCAAGTACATCATTAATTGGTCCATGGAGTTGGAATCCTTGGCGAGCACCTCAGCCCCTTCGGCCAAATATCTTTTGATTGGCGGTGCCATTTTCCGAGCCACAATCTCTATAAGCTCAACAATCTGATTGCGTTCGGTGTCCAAAGCATTTTCAATTACCGTTTTTATGGTGCTCGCGCATCGTTCTGCCTCTAGATTTGTTCGATACTCTCCCAATTTCTTAATTATATCATCAATGCTGAGTTCCTATAATAAATTAATGATCTTAGGTTGTGTTTCATATATGTAAGTTATGAAAATATTACCTTTATAAATGAGGGTAAGGTTTGGCGAATGTAATCCATGTTGTTAATGGCTATGCACCACTCTTCCGACAAAGCTAAAAAATAGATAAGTAAATATAAAAGCAGTGGGTAAAATATATTCTATAAATTAACTTACTGAAATTCTTATTATTATCATCAGCTAGAAATATGTTTTCGACTCTGCGGGACATCTGTTGGGCATAAAATACGCAGCACCGACAAAGATCCTGTACAAAAATATAATTAGCCTCAGCAAACGCGTATTACAGTCTATCAAAAACTTACATTAACAATTTTGGCTACAAATATGTAGGAACCCTCGACTTCTGGCCAGTCAAGTTGTTGCCAAAATATCTTAATTTGATAGAATATAGAAAGTGTATCCACTGCTGAAGAACTATATTTCACAGTTTCGTCAACAGCTTTTAACTGATCTAAGTCAATCGCCTTCTGGATACGACTTAAAGCCTTAATTATTGAAATATCAAGCCAGTGAGTAACTCCTCTTTCGAACCAGGGATAGAAATTCGACAGTTCCAGGCTCTCGGAGCAAAGAGATTCTCCTAAAAACAAAATATACAATTGCTTTAATGGAATTAAAACTAAAACCCTTGAAATACTTTACCCAATTGGACGTATCGCTTGAGTATTAAGTAGACTTCGAATAATGTTGTTCCCATGTTTACATTCTCAAGGTTGGGTAAATATAAGAATTGATCGTCTGGCACATCCAATCTCTTAATGTTATTGCACACTTCTATAATAATGGATTTACAAATTTCAGCAAGTTTCGAGTCATAGAATAAATAGAGGATTGCGGAATAGTTAATCTGAATTTTGCTGAAAAAAATAATTTAGAAATTAATATTTAATTTCCTAATTATTATAAAAATTGTAAAACTTACTGGTAAAAAATTTTATCAAAGTATTCCATTGCACGTTGAAGGTCAGCGCGAACCATTTGTATGAGTTTGATAATGTATTGTAGCTTCTCATCATCTGTTTCTGTGTTTTTGGATTGCCTGCTGCCCTCCACTATATGCTCCAGCCATTCCTTTGTTCCGGTATTGATGGCATCCACTATGGCAGTGTCAATATTGCACGTTTCATCGGTGTCGTTTGTGTGAATCCAACCGTAAACTGATTTGGGGAAAATGTCCACACTTTCTGGAACTTCCAGTTCCTTGATTTTCTTTAGAATATCTAGCACTTCATTGAGTGCCCTCACTATATTTTTATCACTAGTGTTTTTGGATCTTAATTTCCGTAAGACTGCGAAGCACGAGGGAAGAAGCCGCCTCACTCCATCCCAGAATGTTTTAACATCTTCTGAATCATTCTGCATATAACTAATGACTGGCACTACTACGTCCAGAATAGAATTGAAAAGTGTGAAATTGAGTTTGTGTGTTTCATGGATGGTGCTGTAGGCATGCCATTGACTAAGGGCGCATTCGAAGGGACTAAGGCCACTCTGGGCAGCATGTTGGGATCGAATAAGTTCGGCATTTGGACTGAACTTTCCACTCCACCAGTAATTGGCCACCTGCGACGTTTCTAGCTCGTACATCAGCAAAAGTTTTAGCAAATTCTTGTGCTCCTGGACAGCTACACTTTTGTTCTTCTCTGCACTTAAAGCTAAGTTCACCAAAAGTGAACCTCGACTCCGGCCCTTGCTTCCCTTTTCCAGGTTATACCAAACGGTTAGGCCAGAAACTGGAATAGACTGAAGTTTGTATTAGAAAGGTATGTTCTTGGGAATTTTAAATGCACTTTCTTACCTTCAAAGTAATGGCAGCTCTTCCAATTAACTCATTGTCATGTTTTCCAGATGAAGCGGTAACAGCTATTTCTTTCATTAACTTACTAAGACCCTTTACACCTTTCACATCCAGGATTTTGTTGACTTTTTCTTTAACCGTCTCCGCGGCATCAAAGTCCCTGAAATTAACAAAATATTAACAAAAACCTCAAACTATTATTATAACAACTACTCTACAAAACTGCATAACCAAATAGTAAATAATACTCGTATGCCAATACAGATGTGTTTTTCAGATGCCATACCTTCTTGTTAGTTCGAGTCACACCATTTATAAATATATTTATCCGTGATAAGTGCATTTTAGAATTCAAGAAGCGTTATCAACTAGGTAACTTGAGTTTGATGAGTGCGTTTTATTGAGCAAAGGCAAACATAATTCCACTTACCAGACTTCAACGATAAGAACTTCGTCACGAGCATTATCAGTAATGGGCCTAAAATTAAACAAATTATTATTACATAGATAGAGTTATATAGCAATATAAATACTTACAGCGAGAAGTGCTCCTCCCATATAGGATTTAATGTGGCAGGCTTAACTGATGAGTTGTATCGATGGGATCCATTAGATTCTAAGTAGAGGGTTACAAATGGGTCAGACAAGCCATTAGAATCCTTAGACATTAAGTTCTCGGCCTTTATAATCTCGACATTTAATCTAACATTGGGCGGTTCCTTTAGTCGCGCCGCCTCACAAATTTCCACATGAGTTGCGTTAGGAATTTTGAATGCATCCTGAACAAACTCAATTAAACCGTTTGTGCACTCTTCGTTGTTTTCACAGCCGATATTGTTGAAAATTTCAAATAAGATCTCTTCATACAGATCTGTAACCTGCAAATAAAAAAAAGAGTAGACAATCAGTTTTATCTCAATAGCAGCTAATTAAATGCATGCGACATTTGTAAACTTCCTATTCAGTGAAGTATTTTAATTGTATTGAAATAAAAATAGAAAGAAATCAATTTTCTAAAGGTCAAAGCTAAAGAAAATATCGACAAATTCCAGAAAACGGAAATATAAACAAAAGCGTCACAATGAAATTGAAAAACCAGATCCAGCTGATGTCATTAATGGTTAGATACATTCTAGATAAATATCTAGAATAAAAGCTCTTAGTTCTAACCATAAATTAATGCAGAAGCATAAATATCGCCATAACTTAAGATACGAATCAATCAACCTATTTACTTTCTTTGTAGAAATTCCTAAAACGTATTCTTCTTAGTATGATTTTCCTTAGCTAAATTCTATACAATTCTGAAACAATTGTTCAGTTTTTGCCAAACAACAAGTACATAAATATATCCAAAAACTGAAATACTCGATACACTTATCTCGAATGACTCAACAATAATCTCAAATCAATGAACTTATACAATCGCTTTTGTTTACCGAAACGCTGTGAATAAACACATAGAACTCGAAAATTATGAATCGTTTTCCTTGGATATTCTTTTGAAAAGTATATAATAGAGGGCAGGTGCTGATAACACCTGACCCTATCCAAACTTTAAGTTCTACTTACTGTCATCGAATGGCAAACCGCCTTCGCATGGGAGTCGAGTAAATGCTTATGTACTCCCCGAAAGTGTCGACTAGATATGCTTCCATTACGATTCAATATGCTCATCCGTCGCTCAATTGGCTCTTTGAGTGACTGGGTGGAGGATGCTTTTCTCGAGAGTCTGATATCGTCGCATCCGATACGCGTACTGGATCGGGTAAGGCTATTGGTTTTTGATTTTTGGTTAGACGGGTTGTGATTTTGGGATCCGAACTTGCTCAGAACACGTGGTAACGATAGGTAACTCATGTTTAATATTCTCTAATGGATAAGTCCACTATTTTATGTTTATGTTTAGATGCAAGCGTAATTTTTGGCAAATACTTTCTTGCAAATATACAATTCAAAATAGACGCACATATTATCGGGGGTCGGTTGCGGTGGGAAAAATCACGAAAACTCTATGGACTTAAGAACACCGACTAGACCCAACCGCTTCGTAGAAGAGTCTGTATCTAAGTACAATAGCGTCCGGTCTCGAAAATCTTAGCGATATCCGAAATATCTTGACGTTGACCATGAGATAAAAAGTGTATGCGCTCAATTCGATTCAGTTTGTTTACTGTATTTGTGCATATGTACACGGCGATTTTAAAGTGTTTGTGAGCAATAATAAAGCAATCCTAAGAGAAAATGTTTTATTTTTGGATACAAAAAGGAAAAGCTCAAGGTGGTAATGAAAAGTGTATTTTATAAAGTACATTAAGCTTTTCTCTCGTTCAAAATTGACCATAGCCTGTATGTTTGCATGTTTCTCTAGTGCTTGTTTATGTTGTCAGTATACATTATTCAGTTTGTTTATACAGTCTTCGGAATATATAGGTACATAGCCCTCTGGCAAGTTCATTTGTTTATTGTTCAAACGTTTCTATGGACACGACTTAATTTTTTCTGTTCAATTAAACTACACCTTCCCAGACGGCAAACATGCGAACAGCAAAATGTTGGTATAAGATAAAACATTGCACGGACATTAAATCGTTGCGATCGTTAAGCTCTGCTGCAAACTGGAAAACTGACCTATGTCGACATTTCCTCTGCATTCAGGTCTAGGAATTATGAAATGAATGTGACCAGGCTTAAAAGGCCTCCATATTCACCAATACAAGCCATGGTGGATTGCTAGTTTGTGAGCCATGAGATTACAAAAAGTTTATGTACTGATGAAATATCAGTATCAAAAATCTACTAAATCTAAACCTATAGGTCTTTAAAACAAAAAAAGTACGTATATTTAATCCTGTAATATATTTTCTTATTTTAAATGTTGTTTAGCTTTCAGCATTTATAAGTGTCATTTTGCGTGAAACTTTCACCTTGTTGTTAATTAGGGAAACGTAATAAAACGAAGGCGAGCCCTCATAAAAACAAAAACGAATTATCCTCAAGATGAGTAACACAAATTACCGCGTAATAAAATAAAACATTAAAATACTATAAGAACAAATTATTCTAGGAAACACTTGATAAACACCTTCACATACATCTTATCACATTAATTCGGTAAACTCTTAAAACACTCTATGATGTATGGCCTACCTGATAAGACTGTTATGGTAGTAATGCTTTGAGACAGTTAGACTATTTGAAATTAGATACCAGATGGAATGTTGATTAATTATCAACATCCGTTTTGACCTTTTGTCACAATGATTCATAGCTTGGAAAACTATAAGCCTATGTGCTCTATCTCATAGTTTGCAGTTTTCCAAAGCAAACTTACATTCATTACAGGGGCCGAATCCAGAACTGCTGTACTGATATCATTTTCAGATGTCGATGCTAGGGTACTTTCTGTGGCAAAGGTATCGATACTGATGCACTCCGGATCCTGACTACATTGCAGAGTGCCATCTGGTGTTTCATCTGATTCCTCTGTCTCGGCACTACCATTTTCCTCAAACGGAGCCAGTGAACTTTTCAGGACGCATTCATCAATTTGTGATTTTTGCCGCAAAAGCGATCCAAACTTTTCGAAAAATCCATCATCGCCATCTTGTAATCTGAAGGGAAAAGTTATATTAGTTAACAATATACAAGTATTCTTAATTAGTCATCATTATAAATGCGGATTTATCTTATAAGTGTGAAAAATAATGGAGAAAGTCATTATTATTGGATTTTACATTTATGCATATGTATATTGAAAGACTGGTGGTTCCCTAAAACTGAGTCATGCTTACATTAGCGAGTAGGTAGTAAAATCGATCTGTGACTTGAATTCCCTTACATCACTTTTGTTGTCTCACGCACACACTATAAATCATCCACTTGATAATCTTTAATTTATCTGATGACACAGTTCCAGTTCTCAAAAATGTTCATATTTGTCTAAAGAAACACACATGTCTGCTAACAAATGTTCAAATGCTCATACATCCGCGAGTTTTTAGTTTTTCTACAGGTGTGCGTGAGTCTGTTTTTCGGATCGATTTATTTATTAAACTTACTGGTGTTCATGCTCTGTGGGTGGATTCATTTTCATTTCTTGCAGTTTGAAGAAAAATCCCTTCCACATTTGCTCCTCGTCCATTTTGAATATGCTGTTTATATTTATATGGAGCAGAAGCACTGAATCAGAATCCAACAAGTGTCACCGGAGTGTAAAAACATACTAACGGCTTATTTGCACCGAACAAACGATGTGATTCATTGCCAAAGCTGCTCTCCGGCGTAGATTTTTCTCAGCAGTATTCACACGCTCTTCCGTACACTATCACACATTTTAATTAGGTATGAATGTTTGTAAACCAACATTAGGCGAAAGTAAGGAAATGGGGAAGAGTATAAAAGATACACACATACCATCACTCGTTACCATGGTGATCGCTCAGTTTATCAGGCATTTTTGTTTATAATTTTAAAATCAAGAATAGACATCTTTACCATCTAAATATTTCAATTCATTAACTAAATGGTCTCTATTGAATGGTTGTAATGGCGTTATTGCCACACACACAAACACAACTACATCAGGTAGGGCTAGGCTGTTCTTGTAACCACCTTTGCAGACTTGCTCCATGGTCAACTACGCACTTCAATACACCATTTTTTAAGATGATGTAAAGAGCCAATAGGAATTTATTAATTTATCATATAATTTACCTTATTTTGTTAAAAATCCTTGCTTCTGAACGCCGGAAATAACTCTTCATCATTATTAAGTCCTTTACAAGGTTAAAATGTTGGTATTCATTAGATGGAATTAGGCAATAGGGGATTTAAATCAATTAGCTAGTTAAATTCATTACTTTAATAGCAAATTAAATTAACCAAAACGTGATAGTTATTTGCACAATTTTTAATTCTAATTATAGATTGTAAAATAAATTAAGATTAGATTAGATTTGTTTACTTTATTTGTTTGGTATTAAAAATCCCTACTAAACTACCGAATACCGCCTTTCGATAATTTACAGAATGGCAACCCTGCAGCCCGATAAACAAAACAAAGCCACGGATATAACAACAATCTGTTCGTAACTCTTGGTTTTAGCTGAAATTATTAATTAAAAAGCCATGAACTTAAAATATAAACGGCGGTATGAGAGTTTAAAACGATCCGTGAAGAGTTATCTACTGGTATGATATTATTAACATAACTAAAAATCCGTAACCACTTGTACATATACATGTATATGGTTGGAAAACGTACGACTCATATATATATATACATATTTCTATATGCTTACATTGTTTCGTAAACCATTTATCTTGATTTACTACACCTCTATTCAAATATGAATCTATTCTAGGAGAACGCAGCCCTTACAGATGAGATCTGCCGCCTTCAGGCAGAGTTATCTGTCACCAGATCTCAGAGGCTATACCTTATAGAGAGGCTTATGTTCCATGAGGGTCTGGAGAAATCCAATAATGGGCGTCCAAATGTTTCGAATGGAAAAGTAGACCCCACTGATTCCCCTGGAGGCCCGAAGAAAAACAAACCAGTTGTTTTGTCAAAGAAACCAAGCGAAGACAAACCAAAAAATGTGACTATTATACGAAAAAAGAAGCCCACGTTTCCGATGAACTTAAATAATGTATTACTGCACTCACTGGGTGAGATTATATCAGTGAATCCGAATTTCCACACCGATAGTTGGATCTATCCAGTGGGATACGTTGCCACTCGAATTTATGCACATCCCAAGGATCCGCGTAAAAAATGTGTATTCACCTGCAAAATTTTGAATAACGCTGGGATTCCCCAATTTCAAATAATACCGGACAATGATCTGGATGGAGTGTTCTTCGGAGAAAGCGCCAATACTTGTCACATGGAACTATTAAACTCCATTCAGAGATCTCCCAGTGTAAAGGTTAAAATACCCTTCGACGTGCAGGGTGAGGTCTTTTTCGGATTGTCAAACCAGAAAACCCAATCGCTTCTTATGATGGACCCGGGGTACCATCTATGTACAAATTTCAAAGGGTTCGCAGTGCAAAATGTTCAGTCATTAAATAGTGCATCATTATCGTACGAGACACTCCAAGGGTTTTTGTCTTGATATTAGTTTTACTGTAACTTAAGTATAAGATTATAAAATGATAAGAATAAAAATTATAATAAAACCTTTTTCACACATACATATATAAAGATTACATGTGTATATATTAAATATTAGGTGTCTTTTAAAATAAAGTTTGTAAGTTCCCATAAAAAAACTGCTTTAATTTCTTGACAGTTAAAATGTTTTTTTTATGTTCTGATTCCGTTTGGTTCAATACATTTACAATAATATATATTTCTTAAATGAAACTGTGTGCATTCGCGGTCAATTCGAATGGAACAAAAAGTGCAGTTAGTTTGTTGTGGTCAACTATCGACTTTTCTATAAGGGATCCAAAAACAAGTTGGCAACCTGCTACGGTAATCGGAAATACAACCCTTAGTCAGAAACATATGTACACAACACCTATCTGAAAAGTATTAATACAATATTTTTGGAAAGTTGTTTTGATTGGCTTTAACTTAATCGGCATTGCAGTAGCAGCTGAATATACAAAAAACCAACAAAATCAGTTGAGATGGGAAGCATCGAAAAGGCGTGTATATCTGGATTCCTGTGCCGACTATGTTCCGAAATGCATCGAACAGTAATACATATTTATAGTGATCATGGCCAACGTTTGTGTCTTGTAGAGAAAATCAACGGCTACCTACCAATAACAGTAAGTACTACCCGGTGCTCAGCAAAAGGAATATGCTAGGCTTTATATAAATGCGGTCATACATCATTAACCATGTTTGTATGTACATGAAAACAGCCACAGAAATATAGGTTTGCGCAAACAATTGTTTTCTCGATAGGTCAATCTATAAGCATCTAAACAGGTATATTTATTGATTTATCATGTATTTTCGTATTTCCCCAGATTTCTCCGACTGATCCCTTGCCTAAGACCATATGTAAAACGTGTCTACACCGAGTGGAACAGCATTATTCGTTACTTATGCGACTGACACGAATGCGGGAAGAGCGCAAATTTAAGTCAATCGAGTGCAAGCCTCGAAGAGAAGTAGTGAGTATTAAAATTCTACCTAAAAAAAAATGCACTATGATTATTTTATTGATTTTTCAGAGAAATCCCTCGATATCCAGCGTGGAATCGGAAGAGGAAGTGGTGAGTTTTATAGTTTTATGTTGAAAGATTCTGCATCATCTTACCCTGTACTGCTTTTCAGATAAATCAACCCTCGATTCACGAATTATTAGATGATGATGAACAAGGAGCACGAAGCAACGAGACCGGAAGAACCGTATCCGAAACTGTTCAACAACAGACCCAGGAATCCCAATCCCCCAAGTCAGCAGAGACTGTAGTGCCCACACCAAACAGCAGAGAAAGCCACGATGATAGTGGTGCTGGCCCCAGCAATAGAGATCCAATAGAGACTGGCTCCTCCACAGGCGTAGGTAGCACCACCCAGCAGAGAACCCATTTAGATTAAGGACTGCTAACCTCACTCTGGTCGGTGGAACTATATATACGAGTACTTGACTATGTATATATAGACGCGTTTGTGTGTACGTACGTTTAGATTGGAATAAAATAAGCATTTTATTTAATTATCTAGTTAATTTCGAATACAGAAGATAAGTGAACCATATGAAAAGGCCGTCTTACTTACCAGGGACTTACACTGGCAAGTTTTAGGGGTAACTGCCATTATATAGAGTATCTACATAGTTGACATCGTTTTGTCCAAAACATTTTCTGGCCCATCGGGCAACGTGGCATATCCACTTTGTTTACCCTAATCTTATCGTAATACAACTTTAGTGGCTACATTCTTTTGGCATGATAGCAGAAAGTTCTTTGTTTACCTGGGCATACAACGCTCATGTTTTCAGTTTAATATTGCTTCTCTTGCTACATATTGTATTCCCCTTAGGGTTATCGATTGAAATGGTCCAACCTCCACCGCAGAGTTGCAAGCAAAGGTCAAATATAATACAAATATACCTACGTATCTTCTTGGAATGTAGTTGGCAACGTTCAACGCACAATGCTATTTTACAGGTAATGAACGACTCTTTTGAAGTAGAAAGAAGAAGTAGTTAAACTCTTTTTACCACACCGTTCAAGTCGATCCATGTAAACTTACTTTCAACACATTACAAATAGAGTTTTTGCAGTTCAGTAAATTAAAACAAATCTTTAATTGTAATTGATTGATATGTTAACATAGGAAGTTCTTGCAACGTATTCAAAAATTAAGCAATTACATATATTTGCATTATAGACTTTAATACCAAACAGGTAATATTTAAAAATTGTTTTTTAATTTTCTTTTTTTTTATATGATAAATGTAAACCCCGTGACTCTAGTTAAAAACTCATTTAAAACCTTGTTTGTCTTATGAAATGTTCTTTTTATTGAGCCTAACAATACGCACGAATCGCTGAATACTTAAAATTGTCAATCAGAATGGTATTATGATAACTTAGTTTATCTTGCTTTTCCTATCACTAATGGTTCCCTGCCATATATATACGCAACACTGATCGAGTACGTATATAATGGGGAAAACACTTGTGCTTGCAATCGTCGTTACATCTTAAGTTAGTAAACGTATATTGTTTTAAGTTGCGGCTTCAATTCTGGAGGTATCACTGGAGTGTGTTCCACTTTTCGAGTAACTAAGCGCTTAAACCGTCCACTAAATTGCTTGCGAAATCCTTTAAAGCTGCTTTTATCACTTGAGGCCATCATGTCCTGGAAAAGGGAAAAGTAAATGATATTTAAAAACTCTAGTAAACATAATTACACACAAGGGCTTTTTTAAGATTAAGCCTGCGGCTTTTCGGTTACTCTTTTTCTCTCTCCATGTGAACCGCATTCCAATTTCGGCTTATCGCAAAAATATGTTTTAAATACTCAATATTACCAGAATGTATTGCAATGCTATTTATATAGATTAATCAACACAAAGCGTTCCTGGAATTAAGTACTCTAATTGTTTGATGGAAAGGCCCTTGCACGCGTTACAAATTTTCTTGGTAAACAACGAAGGAGAAAGTGAAAACCGGAAATGAAAAACAAAAGTAATTTAACCCTTCCTTACGGTATTTCCTCACATAACATCTCAACGATTTATTAACCCAAGCTGACCTGCGCATGTACATCACATACAGTGATGGAAAAAATAATAGAAACGATTTTTCAATTTTGGTTTGAATACGTATTTTTAATAAGGAACGTGGTGATGAGTGGATATTTTTATTTTTTTTTTGATTTATATACATCTAGCTTACATACTAAAAAACAAAAATGCATTTAACTTTATTCATTTAGCTAAAAAAATATATTTAAGTCAAATTTTATGGTTTTGACTTGAAAAAAATAAAACGAAGTGACTTATCGCCATCCAAATTGACTAGCTTAGCAAAATTAACCATGAAATGTTTCAGGTTTAATATATTGTTGTATTACCATGATTTTTCAAAAATTCCGGGACACCTACAGGCATAGACTCCACAGGATTGGAGCATATTGCTGGCTTAATGGAGTACCACCTCCTGGACTTTCTCCGACAAATGCCCTTAGTTTTTGGCCTAAAACCACTCAAACGCTTTTTAAGAATGCCCCTCAAATGCTCAATATGGTTTAAGTCGGGTGACTAAGCTGGCCAATCCATAACGCCGACTTTATTGTCCAGGATCCCCTTTTTTAGCAAGCTACGATGTATCATTGGGATCGTTATCCTTAATAATATCCCAATTCAAAGGCATTTCATCTTCAGCATATGTTAACATAACGTCCATCATTATGTTTAAAAAGTCTGTATCACAGATATTGCCCTGTATCCAAAATAATGGACCAACACCTGAAGCAGAGAAACATCCCCATAGCATTATATTGCCACCAAAAACCAAGAGACCCTCCAACTGGAAAAATCTCCTTTGGTCCGATGAGACAAAGATTGATTTGTTTGTATCTGATGGTAGACTCCATGTTAGATGCCCAAAAAACACAGTATTCGATCCCAAATACACCAAAAGGACGATCAAACATGGAGGTGGCAATATAATGCTATGGGGATGTTTCTCTGCTTCAGGTGTTGGTCCATTATTTTGGATACAGGGCAATATCTGTGATACAGACTTTTTAAACATAATGATGGACGTTATGTTAACATATGCTGAAGATGAAATGCCTTTGAATTGGGATATTATTAAGGATAACGATCCCAATGATACATCGTAGCTTGCTAAAAAAGGGGATCCTGGACAATAAAGTCGGCGTTATGGATTGGCCAGCTTAGTCACCCGACTTAAACCATATTGAGCATTTGAGGGGCATTCTTAAAAAACGTTTGAGTGGTTTTAGGCCAAAAACTAAGGAGCATTTGTCGGAGAAAGTCCAGGAGGAGTGGTACTCCATTAAGCCAGCAATATGCTCCAATCCTGTGGAGTCTATGCCTCGTAGGTGTCCCGGAATTTTTGAAAAATCATGGTAATACAACAATATATTAAACCTGAAAACATTTCATGGTTAATTTTGCTAAGCTAGTCAATTTGGATGGCGATAAGTCACTTCGTTTCTATTTTTTTTTCCAAGTCAAAACCATAAAATTTGACTTAAATATATTTTTTTAGCTAAATGAATAAAGTTAAATGGATTTTTGTTTTTTAGTATGTAAGCTAGATGTATATAAATCAAAAAAAAAATAAAAATATCCACTCATCACCACGTTCCTTATTAAAAATACGTATTCAAACCAAAATTGAAAAATCGTTTCTATTATTTTTTCCATCACTGTATATTATATGTGCGATCTCCAATCTTATCGCAAAAATGATTTCTTAAAATAGATCTATTTAATGCTGAATGCCACCAGTAAATTCCTATAATATATGACCAAATGTCGGTATGTCTGTTCATACTCCATACATACTAATGATTTAAACGCCAATTGTTGAAGTGCAAATAATTTGTTTCCTCTTTATCTTCCGCCAACACACGAGCACACAAAGACTAGGAACTATGCATACTATATATGTATATATAAACGGTCACCCGTGGAGTATCTAATAAACGTTACGTCATAATAATCTGCACCGAGAAGCAAACATGTGCGAATTGTAAAAGAACAGGAAAGGGAAACTACTTTTCAAAGAGATAGTTCCATTATTTATATCAGTTCAATAATCGTAAACTTTCTTTTTTAATTATCTACATAAGAATTAAACATATAATCTTTAATCCTATATGCTTTTTCTTTCAGTGCACACTTACGGGACTCAGGCAATTGTAGATATGCGGAGTGGGCGCTTTTGGGGGAAATGTCCACTCCGTTGGAGTCGAGTTCCCATTCCCGTTGGCGTCACAAACAGCTGGTGCATTATTGGTCCTCACGAATGTAACGCTCTGGGTTTGTTTGGCAGGTGGTGGTGGTGTTAAAGATGATGATTGGGATGAGCTCTTGCCCCTGGACTTTTCCTCGCTTGATTCCTTCATTTTTATGTGGTCGTCCCAGTAGCGCGTAAATATATTTTTGGTGTGGACTTCGGTGTTTGTGGACGATGGATGAGGGGTGTTCAAATAGTCGGATACATCACGTTGACAGCATTTACTGCGGACAAGACGCATTGTTAATTTCCCAGTGAGATACCCTCGATCGTTGCTAAGTTAGTTCATTTTGCAAAACTGTTTATTTTTTTTAGGTACACGCGTATCACAGATGGTTTGTTTTGTTTTTTTTTTTGCGGATGCTATAGCTATATCGGCATGATATGTATAGGCATTTGCTATATTAGCTAGATATGTAGACCATTAGCGGAAGAGGTTTTTCGGTATACTAATGTCTCGCCTGTCTGGGGTTTTTTTTCAGGTAGGCGCTACCCAGCGTTACAGCGTTACAGCGCGACTAGAATATCGATTTTCTGTACATGGGCTGGCGTTTTGGGTGGTGAGTTAGTCATGATGATGTGATGATGGCTGCGCACTATACTTTTTAGCTCAGCCCTACTCCAAAGTCTGGCGTTTTCGCTTGACGCCGTTCCTTTGTGGTTGTTTTGTGTGCCTTTATCTAATGCGACTTCCTTTGCCGAGGAAGTGTATTTATAGGAATGACACTTTTCATCTTTTCAATGCTAGATATAACTTACACAACAATATCAATTTTGCTTTTCACTAGGCCAAACAGAAACGGAAACAGACACAGACAAACGTGTCGAGTATTTTCTAGTCGTCGTGCAAGGGAAAAATGCGATTAATGCTAGCACTCTTCACTACATCCACACACATATATGTGTTGCTGTATGTTTGCACATTTTCCTTAACTGCTTCACACGTAAGTACGCACATTAGAGTTTAACTTATTAGGGCGAGTATCTGAATTGAACTGAACTGCATGAACAAAAGCAAAATATTAATCTGACTCATGTGCCAACCCGCAGCCAAAAAATATCAATCGAAAGTCGATGTGCTGATCTCTATATATATAAATTTATATATAGAGGTTTCGACCACCGCTAAGCTTCTAGCAAAGTTATCAACCAATTTGGTTGTGGTATATTTTTTTGCATTTCCGATCTCTCTGGTATTTACATTAGCTGTTATTATTTTTAATTAAAAAACTAATTTAGGGTAAATAATCAGTGAAGACCTTCTGACGACACCAGACCTATTTTATATATTAAGCTGTATAAAAATAGGGTATTCACCTAATATAGAATAAGTAATTTTCCTAATACGATTTCTATTTCGAAAACTGTCAAAACAATTGTGAACAATTCATGAACTGAAACGTTGTTTAAAATAATAATTTCCACACAAAACTATTATCTCACTTTATTAATTGGTTAGATTGCTGGCTGAGTTAGCCTCTGAACCCAGATGTTAAGCACACACCAGTCTCGCTCTAAATATTTGTGTTTGTTTGCACGCTAATTAATTGAAACCAATTAAGGAGTAGAATTTGTTTGCTATACAAATAAACAATAGATCTTTTCCGACATGAAGTATCTGCATGTTTCGATTCTACTATTCCTCTGAAGAGCTGCCAGCTTGTTTTGTGGCGTTAGGAATTGCAGTAGTTTAATTTTCGCGCTCACTTGTTCATGTATTTAATGATTTGAATAGTTTTTTTTTCAGATTTAAGAAACTTTTTTTTTTTAGTAAAAATATTAGTTTTATTTCGATTTGTTTTTCGTTTTCACTGGGTCTGATTTTAATATTTTGGCCACCTTTTTTGTAATAAATATGACGGCAACCAAAGCAACAATACCCAAAGTCGCCAGCGAGCTTATGTTTTCAGATTTGAAATAACCTTGCAGTGGTCCCAAAAATTCGTTTCTGAAAATTACGAAAGAATACGAGTAATTATTTATTTCTTTATAGTATAGGAAGTGTCTTATAGTTTTAAATTCGATCTTCTCAAACCAGGAACTTTTTAAACCGGGGTAATATTGATTATTATGTTTATGTACAAACTATTCACTTATGGATATTATACAACGGTTATGATTAATATTTGGTTTTATATCAATCAACAGAGTATTAACAATTTAATGCACAATGGTAAGATCATGTTGTGTTGAATACCCTCAAATCTGACGTTATTTGCAACCTTGTACCGGGTACTAATATTCATTATAGGTTAAGTTGAATAAATATAAGTATATAAACCATTAGTTTGAACTCATTAATATGTTTAAAAGATTCTCATTGGCTCACTTACTAAAGACATGTTTCAGTTTCTCACAAATCCCTATAAAAAGGTCATAATCGGACTTTGAGTTATATATTTGATCGAAGGAGATCTTGTTTTTCTTATCTTCTTATATTGTCTTTGAAGAAGATACTTACACGGCACTGGGTATTTCTGGTACTGGCTGAGGATGGCTCTGAGTTAGATAGCCCTTCTCAGCAAAATTAACAAAGGCCTCCGGAGTGTATTGCTTGGCCAAGTACTTGTACATTTTCCCCTGGCGCAAACTGTAATGATTTAAATTAGTATATATAATTTAGTAGCTCAAAGAGTACGTACAAAACAAATGCCGGCGATTCCAAAGCTCCCAGCCTCTTAGCCGTCGAGATGCCAGACTCCAAGCTGTTCATTCGGGCAATATTCAACTTTCGCTTCAGCTTTCCGCCCACAGATTCCCAGACGGCATAAAGTCGCTGACAGACGGTACACTCGGCGGAAGAACTAGATGTGGGTGTACATATATACATGTTTTATGACGTCGACCTCAACGGATGACTAATATGGCTTACAAGAAGATAAACCAGTCCCCGGTGGTGGCCCCCGATGAGGCTTGAGTCAGGTGCTCAAAGTTGTCGTCCGAAAGCTCTTTGACCGCTGGCTCCAAATTGTCATTGAAGAAGTCTAGGATTTCGTCATCGTTTATCTCGCCATGGTACAGAATGGGTATTCCTCGCCTGAAGAAGACGAGAGCCGGTTCTTTGCTTGGATCGTAGATAGAAACTAGATTACTATCCACCGACTGGACAACAATGGCCGACAAAGTGTCCTCCAGTTGGGGATGTATCTTCGTGACTACATTTTCATACTCCAAACAACGCTGGCAATTGTTTTTGTCTGCAATTAAATGAGTTTGTTAGCCAGTAACCGGTGTTCAATAGTCCATATGTACATCTTTTGTACACGTAAGCTGGATTTCTTTTTCTTTATGTGTACTATACTTACTGAATAGGACAACCACATTGCTGCTGCCGGTTAGGAGTTGAATCAACTCCGTGTCATCCACACGGCGCAACTCCTGGGCTGCCGCATTTTCCAAACTTAGGCTTATAATTGCTAAGAGCACAAGCTTCAGCATTTTGTGCTTGTGGAAGAGCTGAGTTGATCACTGGCAAATAAATCTGATCGGAACTTTCAATGCCCACTGAATGAGCCCGGCTATCGATAGTTTATTAAATGTATCGGCAATAGTGATGAGAATGATACCTTTTGGGTACGTAGGTCTGCAGGAAGGTACGAACAAGTAAGTACCTAAGTAAAGTACTAAGTAATCCAAAAAAAAATTTTGTAAGCTTTACCAGTTAATTCAATTAACCGTCCATTTTATCAAATAGCATAAAATAAAAATCTGTTTATAAATTTGTTGATATTCAAAGTCGGTTATTTAAATGAATTCCCTCTTATATTATTATCTTATTAATCTAAAATATTTAGACAGCAAGCTGTTATCTTTAAGACGAGTAGGCCAATTAATATATTATAATAATCCCAGAAGCATGATAATTAGTTTAAAATCCTAATAACTTTATCTATATTTTTAATAAAATAAATAATGAAAAGGGTTAACTTACAAAAATTCATTTACCTTAACCATTTTATAAGACAAGAACACTTTTAAGAAATAAATTTTTTTTTATTTTTAAGACAAATTTTAACAAATAAATAATAAAATGTAATACAATAAGTAACAATACATTTTAAACTACATTTGGTATAGATCTATGAGCTTCTTCCTTCGAAATTTTCTATCGAATTTATAACAAAATCGTAAAGATCTTCAATTTGTTGGGCTAATTTATCTGTAAAAAGAAAGAAATTATTATCATAGATTAACAATTTCTATTTAATATCGTTACCCTTATCTGTTTCTACAAATTTACTCTCCATTCCATCGCTCTCACCAGATCCAGACATCATATCATCCTTGAAAATATTTTTCAGCTTTGGCAAAACCAAAAGTAAGAATATTAATCCAATGAACTTGACAATTTTCTTGAATATCAAGAGCTTAAGCAATATCTTTCCAAGGGTATATAAGTTGATCTTGGACTTCAGTTTTTCTAAAAAGGAATCGTGCGAATGATAGGGCATGGGCGGAGCTGGCTTATAAAAGGGAGGAGGTGGTGGACCATAGGACGGATAACCAGGAGGTGGTCCATATTCAGGAGGAGGAGGTAGGTAGTTGTTGTTAGGGGGTGGCAGATAGTTGTTGTTTGGAGGTGGATTATATTGGTATCCATTGTTTGGCGGAGGAAGGTACTCTGGGGCAGGAGTGGCTGGAGGTAGGTAGTTGTTGTTCGGCGGTGAGCTATAGCTATAGCCTCCATTGTCATTGCCTAAGAAATACAAATTAAATGATAAACAATTTAATTTTTTTTGAGAAGTGGGTCTTATGTCTATTAAATGAATTACGCATGTACGCATTAAGAATTGTTCAATTCAAAAATATCCTTTCTTGCTTTTGTCATTTTATAGCACTTAACGACTTTTATTTCAAACACACTTTATTCATATTGTGTTAGAATATTAGGATTCTAAAGTTTATTTAACACATATTATTCCTTAAATCCTTTTTAAAAGTTCACGCACCGAAATCCAATGAATTCGAGTTTTGGATATCCCCGGAATAGCTATCCGGCACAGCGGCACATGCACAAATGCAGGAAGCGCATATCAGAACGACAAAGTATTTATTACGCATTTTTTTCGATCGCGGCGAGATATGAATTAAACGGTTCCTAAAAGTACAATAAACGGTTTTCTGGCGGTCCGGCTCTTTATAAATTTTGAGCCGCAAAACTTTGTTGCAAAGAAAATATCTGACGGACGTATGTGCAAGTATTTATAACTGCCATTGCTTTTCCCCCGAAAGGTTTGGCCCCTACTTATAGGGCATATATGCAGGTTGAAGTTGGAAGCACTTGTGTATTCTTGCAAGAAATGTAGCTACCGTCTCACGTGCTGTTCAGTATTCATGCTACGTGCAATCGCTTGGATTGTGTTGGGGATTTCGAAAGAGACGCAAAAAGTTCAATACAACTTTCACTACCCAACTTTCAAAAAGCCTGGAAATAGCAACCGCCTATACAGTATTTGCGAGTTTCAGTTCGGTTTTGGGGTTTCGACTGTTTTTTTGACATATTGTTAAACTCGTTTTGTGGGAATTAACGATTTGCATAAGTGACACAAATTGATGACATTTTAGACAAGTGTTACGAATGTTACAATTTTGTTGAATTTAATTTGAAGTCTTTAACGGTCTAGTTTTAAAAATAACTTTGACTTGGACATATTCAATTGGAAATAGGGTATATAGTGAGTATTCACCGTAGTAATTAATAGTTTTACATCGCCGGATATGCTCATAATATAGACGATGGACCTTTAATTTGGTTAATGGGCCAACACACAGCTTGAATTGTTAATTCCGGAATGCAATTATTGGTATTAAATTGTAGTCACATTGAAAAACTATTGACTAACTAAAAACTATTAATAAAGATATGTAATTATGTTTTCTGATTATTATTTTAATCTTAATCAGTTCCGGAAGTGACCTGATTTTGATTTCCAACAGATGGCTGTTGTTATTTTAAAATTTCAAATCCCTAAAGATAGGAAAATGCAAATAGAAATCAAGCTAAAAGGGAAAAATATGTTTTCCATTCGTTATCAAAAATATCAGTTTTTGAAAGTTAATATTGTAAAAAATATATTTAAATTTGAAACATTAGTTAAACGGTCACTTAAAAGCTGATAAACGAAATGGCCTAGTTTTCTACAAGCAGTACGGTCACACTGCGCCCCTTGACTCAATTAGTATTTACAAATTGGAACGCTGATAAAAAAGTGAATAAAATTGTTGCATCGCAGGCGAAAGTGTCATCAAATGGACTCAGCACAGGAAGACGGGTCCTGTACGGATATATTTCTGGTCACGGCAAACGTTGGCAGCTTGTTCGAGGACGTACGTAGAACCGTGGAGTTGATACGATGGCCATAGGGCTATAGGAAGTATACATGTTTACGTACGGCCCATACATACACGATGCGTAAATCGGATATTTATGTATGGACCCACTGACATAAATATGTATATCCGAATCCGTGTTCCCAAACAAATTGGTATTGTCTACACCCGCCCCCCAGTAATCGAATTTCCAATAAACTTTGCAGCCGGAGAGGCTTCTTCAGCTATGGCTAAACGAATTCCTCGCCAAAATATCCCACGTTCAGCCCCGTTTTCTGGCACTTCACCTCCAGGAAGTGGGCGGAAAGACGTATGAGAAGTCCATGGAATATGTCCAGGAGTTTATTAGATGCCTCTGCGATGCCCCCGAAATGGCCGACTTCACCTGCGTACACATCTTCATGGACGAGGACTTCAAGTCGGCCGAGCACTTTACGGTGGGTAAATATTTTGTTTCTAGGTCTATCGGTATATCAACAAAACAAATTCTGATAATTTAAGGCATTTAAAGCACTTATTCTTTAATTATAAGTATACGAAAATAATTGTTCTTTAAATTGTTATTAAGTTCAGTAGTCTTAGTCATGAGGGATGAGTTGATATTTCACTTATCACTTATTTTTAAATATTTTGAAATTCATACAGTTATGTTTAAAATATTAGTGCTTTTGATAAAAATGTTTTATTTTTTGTTCAAAAAATTTTCATATTTAAAGGAAAAAAAGTAACCTTTTTGTTTGTTGATATTGAAAGTAAACCTTAAAATTAATATTTCAATTTGCAGGCCCTTGGAAGTCTTTATTTTGTCCATAAGGATGTTGTATCGTTGAAAATATGGAATTTCCTAACCCACAGTTGGGAAGAAAGTCTTCAAGATATTAAAGATAAACATATCTATTCAGGAAATATTGAAACTATTGCCACCAAGGAAAAGTCTAAATTCCCACAGCATTTCTTTCCGGAGGTAAGTTTTAACCATAACTTAAGACATAAATTAATTAGTGGGCTTACTAATTGCCATCCAGTGTAAATGGTCCCGGAAAGGCTTTATGCGAACACGGTGGGAAATAAATGGCACAGTCATCGATCTAGTCAACATTCATTTATTCCATGATGCTTCTAATTTGGCTGCATGCGAAAATTTTCCTTCCGTTTATTGTAAGACGCGGAGAAGAGCCCTAGTTCATACAATTGAAAGGTAATTACGATATTAGTTATCTGAAAACAATCTTAATTGTTGCACTTGAAACAGGTTCCATTTGGACGAACAGAATGGCACTGTGCCATTTTTCCTCTTCGGGGATTTTAATTTTAGATGTGACACTGAAGGCGTTGTGAAAGTAAGATTACTAACAAAATTGTCTACCAGATGTTTAACAAATTCTTTGTAATAGGAATTAACTGAAAATTTGACGCCTCATCGCGTTCAAAATGTCAAGAATGAAAACGATAAAATCCATTATCGTAACTCAACTGGAAACAACGTACTTACCGTTGGAAAAAAAGAATTTAGTCATGCCGACCACCAACTTAAGTTTAAAGAAGATTGGGTAAATATATAATGATATTAATAAAAACAACAACTAATATTGCATTCTTTTTAGCTAAAGAAATTTGACAGAGAACTGGAGCCTCTTAAAGATGTCCTAGTCGAATATCCCATTAAGTTTGTGCCGTCATATCCCTTCGAAGAAGACCCAGAAATGCCCACCGACTATATGTCCACTCGCTGTCCGGCCTGGTGCGATAGGATTCTAATGAGTCCCCAAGTCCATGAGATTATTCGGGGTGATGATTGGACATATGGAATGATCGGTGAAGGAGTATGCATGGGTGACCACAAGGTAAATTAGCTTAGAAGGAATTAGACTTTATTTCCCTTTTTAGTAACTACAGGAGCAATCTAAAACTACTTACAAATCTTGATTGACTTCAACCTTTGCACCACTTTTGATAAATATTCTTGCTCTCCGCTATTAGAGGCTTCGTATTGTTTCCGAATGTCTTACACAAAAATAGGCTGTTTCTAATTCTGCTTCCATTCTTAACAACTGTGTTTTCCTTCGGCATGGTGTCGCTTAGTCCACTTGTAGTGCGCTTACTATATCCTCTGAAACAGATATTCAAACTGTAATAAACTAAAAACACAACTGATTACACGGAAAAGGATCTATAACAGATAAATCTGTAAGGATATTTTAAGGCTTCGGTTCATCGAAGTTAGTTTGAATACAGTTTTTAATTCCGTAGTATCGATTTTAAATCAGAATTTAGAACCTATTAAAGATGCGGATAGGAAAAATCGGAGGGATCATCATATGTATATACCATTTCTTATGGCATTTTCACTTCAATCGGTCTAATAATTATTATCTCTTCTTTTTTGTCATGTAGCCTGTTTACTTAACTGTCCGTCTTAAACCAAACAAAGGTACTTATAGATCTTGTGATTGCAACTACACGAATACTTACGCCAAACCCAACAATATATCAACATCACCTCTGCCCGCAGTCAAACTGAAATATTGTCCCTATTCGAATAAGCTCTTTGAGGATATAGCCACCAGTTCAAAGTTGATTAACGAAACGGAAGCTCACAATTTGTACAATTCAATGAAAATTAGTCAAGACGACGAGGCGGGCAAAACGACTTCCTCGAATTTCCCCAATATTAGTATTAACATTATTGATTCCGATAATATCTGCATGTGCTTGTGCGCACACCTTTCTAGTAATAGTCTACTGCAGTTCGACGATTGCACCCGAACCGGCGAAGCCATTTGTCCCATGTGCCGGAACATAATTAAAAGGCAGCCCGTTGCTCATCGATATAAACTGCTGTCAAAGCGTCTGATGCTAACGCAGGACATCATAATTAATCGCATTGATACACAACACTTGAGCACGGACTCCGAGCGACTTTACGAAGATCCCTACACTCCGGAAAGCACTGAGTCCCACTCGCCATATCCGGAAATCACTAGCTCTTGTACCTCAACCTCGAGCAGTTCGCGCAGTCCTTTAGAACGTAGACTGGCCCCGGACAGAATATCAGAGAGTAAAGCTGGCGATTCGGATATTTCGCCCTGCCCCGAAGTGGTTATTCCAGTCGCCGAGAAACCCTCCCGGGGCACCGTAACTCCTGGCCAGCTAAAATCACGGCTAGAGAACCTAAAGCGCTTATCCATCAAAGATGAAGTCAAAGACGAAGACACAGTTGATGAGGCGGGAGCGGGTGATGTTGAACCAGTTGACGCTGTTTGCCCCCCAAGCTCTGATCCAACGCGCCCAAAACGCAGCTCTAGTGTTATTCCTATGTGTTGTACTATCCACTAATTTCAGTTTTTTGTTATTTCTATTTATATTTCGTTCTTAAGAAAAGTATTTTTAAACTGGCGATTTAAATTCCGCTTGTTTAATCGCTATTCATTACCTTATACTTATTTTACGCCTGATATATAGTAATGCATGCACGGATTTACCAAAAAGTACGGCTATGCTTAAACCTTAGCTTTTAAATTTGTTGTTCTAACAAAAAATAGTTTGTTATTTATACAATTATCTTAAGTAACGGAAATCTCTAAGCTCTTTATCATTGAAACTCAAATTTCTTTATTAAATCTCGTATATATTCCCATAACTTGCAGGCAATTTGGGAGGTTAAATCTTATAAAATCTCTTATAAAAGTTTTTATTTAGTATGTGCCTTTTGTATTTACTTTGTGTAAATATACTTGTAGACCTACCGGAATCATATGTAAATATGTCGAACAGTTGTAGTTATAATTTGTAATTTGTTTGCATTTCAAAAGCCAAATCGAAATCTTAGCAATCTTATGTATTCTGTTCCTTTTCGCAGTAGCAGCGATTCAGCTTAAGCCCGTATTAAACTATTTCTTTGAATCTGTGTTTTAAATATGTATATTGTTTATGTGTTCGTCTTCTTTAAGAAAATAAATTACGTTTTTTACCTCACTTGTCTTCTTTTCTTTTTATTTGTATCTTATACTTTTTTTAAAAGCGGAAATCGCCAATCTTTTTCAGTTGTTTTGCCTAATATAAAATCTGCAAGCCGGCCAAGAAATATTTGTGACTCCAATAGCCCGGCTGGCAGACTAGTTTGTTAAAATTAGTTTATCTATAACCATCTGCTTGTGTTTTTGTAGGCCCTGCAGATCCCACTGGTATTTCCCAATTACCGGAGAGCTTGGCGAACTTGGTTAATCAAGCGCTGAACGACGATAGCTTGTGGATGGAACAATCCGTGGTGGACGATTCGAGTGCATCAAACAGTTCCGTTGCCAAATCGCGCTATATCTTGATGAAGAAGGGAACTACAAGTCCGTGCAAGGAAGACCCCGATGAAGCCGGGGCGTTGGCTATTAAGACCGAGGGTCTTGATACAGAAAGTGCAATGCTGCTGAAGGAAACTACCGTCTAAGAGCTTCAGAACTATTAACTAATGCCAGCTGAGCCAATAACTTGTACCGTGTGGTTTTGTTTTATGTACCTGTTATGTTAAACGCGTCCAATACGAGCTATTTATTTGTCACACCGCCAAGACATGTGGGAAGCAGTCGCAGTAATAAAATATACATACGTGGTAGTTGCATTTATTTCAGAAAAATGTTCAAAAGGATGAAAGGATGAAATCTAAACCAGGCATTTAAACACAGTTCCACGGATTAACACTACGGCTAGGCGATTATTCGATGAGTTTTTTTGCTTTGAAGTATCTGCGAAGGTACAGAACTTGCCACGTCGCCAAACCCAAAAGGCAGCACATACTGAAGATGCTGAAGAACAGGACCCGGCTGTTGGTTTTCTCTGTAGGAAGATAAAGAAAAAATTAGATAAGTTTATATGACATTTTGTCACAATTCTCACCATTGGTATCACGCATTTCTTCCTCTCGCTTGCGCATAAGAACGAAATCACGCACAATGGAGTCGGAAAGGTCCTCCAAACGCTTAAGATCAACTTCCAGGGGCTTCAGCTTGGAGGCCTCGCCGATCTTTTTTTTTTAGGGGTAGAAAAATACAAGCCATTAAGAGATAAGAGAAGTTGACTTAAATTAACTTACGCCTTCATAGCTCTTGGTTTCAACACCCTTTTTCGTCAAGAGCGTAACTTCCTGTACAAGGCCGCGTTGGTCTGGAAAGATAAAAAGATATATTAAATTATCAAGATACAAAGTACTCTAAAAATCTAATTGAAACCCACGAGATCGAACGTAACATCATGTATTTCTTACAAGGGGAAGATGCTGAATGATCTTACCCAATCTGTCACTTCAAGTAAATAAACATTAAAATAGTATGACGTGTGATTTTCATGGCAGGTATGCCCATCCAATGAACATTACAAAGCATATGACTTACGTGCAGGAACTTTGGATATGAAGCATATCTCGTAGGCGTCGTACACCTCTGACATGAAGCTGAATTTGCCCTTACTAATGTGCTCCTTCTGCGACAGGATGTGTCCCTTGGTATCGCGAGCCTTTTCGACAAAAATGTCTTATTAGATCCACGGGAAAAAATATACCATAAAGAAAACTTACTATGTAGTCGATGATCTGGCCGGGCACGTCGGAAACCTCGTATTCGCCCATTACCAGTTGATTTGCCTGGATGTCTTCCTTGAGGCACTTCTGGGTGTTCGGCGACAGCTTGAACATCACGGCATGGCTGCCCCAGGCACAGGCCATCAGTAGGCACATTATAAAAGCCGCCCTCGCCATAGCTCACAATTTAAATCTAATAAAATCTACGGCTGACAAAGATGAGGTGGCTACTTTTTAGAGCTGGGACAAAATCGATGTGTTCGTTATATTATCGATGTTTCAACATGTTTTCGAAAATCGACTATTTTACTGTAACAATCGATTATTTACCAGGTTACTAAAACAACATAATATATGAATGACTTTCGTTTTGGTATTTTCATCGATGAAAACTGAATGAATACTGTTGTAATGCGGCCCTGGTATGTTTGCTATCAGGTAGTGTTAAAAAAATACCACTACATATTTTTTCTTTAATATTAAGTATTTAATGGGATTTAAACAGGAATATAACGAAATTTAATTTTCACAAGTTTTATAACCTAATTTCTTCTAAACTTTGGATTCAAATCGATAGCCGTTATTTTAGTGTTGCGAACATCGCTTTTGTCTCCGCAACGCCGTTCGGTAAAATAGATGGCTTCGGAAGCGTTAAGAATTCTATCACTGTATTGGTTAATGTGCGTGTGGTGTCAGTGTATGTGGTTCTTTAAGTAAAAAATATATCGGAGTTTTTAAAAACTTTTAAGCAACAAATTCCGCCTGCCTTGTGTTTTTATATCATTTATTTTAAGAGGGGTAATAGAGCGGCAATTATCTAACCGAATCAGAACCGGAATACTTATTACATTTCCTATTTGCAGGCAAAAAGTGCAGCAAATGTCAGGCGTGGATCAGGTAATTGTATTTTGCATACACACATATGTACATATGCTCGGTTCGATTTATGTCGGGATTTCGCAGGAAGATTTTCGATAAAAACGCTGTGATTGTGTACATCGAAGTGATGTAGATGTAATACATAATACATAATAAATATAACTAACCTGCGGTGTGTTTTTGTTTCAGATGAAAATACCAGGAAACACAGGTATATAACCTACCACCACAGACAGAGAGCCGTTTTCTTATAGACAGGAACAACTACTCTACTCGATAGCCCGACTTTCGATCGTATTTCTTGCTTAATGTGCGGTTTTAATGCGATTTTCTCTGTTTTACCATGCCCCATAATGTAGCTAAATCGGTCGAGGAGCGCAATATACCATGGAGCCAGCAAGTCGATGAGGCCTCGTACGAAAATCTGTCCTCTCCCACTCACGATGAAGTCGTCTCTGGTGAGTACTTGACAATATAGCTTATATTAGATCCTTAACCATCTAACAATTTCCATCGATTGCGCTTCCAATTTTTCCACCTATCAAGTCAATGAAAACTCTATGCAATTCCAATATCCGCCGTTTAACTTTAAGGAGAATTGCAACACTCCATGGAATAATATGAACAAGGGCCGAAAAGCAAACGCCAACCATGGTATGTATAGTTGTTTTCACCCAGCAGTACTCGTACTCAGTGTGTAATCGTTCTCGCTAACTGGTTTTTCGACTCTGCGAATATGCATAAGTCGGTGCACCGGGAAGTCGATTAGTCCGATTAGCTTCCTATTGGATTTACTTGGGCCTTATATCTCTCATTTCCTACTCTCGCAGATTGTCAAGAAAAGATCAAGATCAAGAACAGCTGAACTGAGCTATTATAATTATACGAAAACATTTAATTGTTCCACTATACGTTCAAGCGTTATAGAACTTATTTTCCTGTATTTATTTACAAGCAATTAAGCTTCACATATGCTCAAATCACTAGATTTTCTTAGTAATATATTTATAGAAAAATGTATAATTTTATTTCGAAACAAATGTTTTCTAACGAGGACGCATTATTTACTATTGGCGAAGTTACTGCACACTAGAATCTGCAAATATTATATTGTAGAATAATTATCTATATATAACTGCCAAGTATCAACATTACCTTTGCCTTCAAGATATCCTCAGCCCAATCCTCAGCAGCCATAGTTTTTATAGCCGTGGTCAAAACCTTCTGAAGGTTTTCAGATTGCTTCTTGAAAATGTAGATGATTTCATGGGTGGTGGCGTTAGGCTGCTGGGCGCACCAGCACTCCATGTTGGTGACCAGACCCAAGGAGGCGTACGGGATTCCGGCCTCTTTGGCCAAAATGGCCTCGGGACAAAGGGTCATGCTCAGCAGGTCGGCGCCCCACTTACGGAACATATTGTTTTCGGCAACGGTCGAGTAACGAGGTCCTTCCAGGGTGAGAACAGTACCACTAGATCGGGTAGGAAATTCTAATTCTTTGGCAGCATTTATAAGGTGCTGCCTGGTGCGCTCGCAAAAGGTGGGATTCATGGGAACGTGGCAGACTCCCAAAGGACTTCCTACGGCACCGTCATAAAAGGTCTGGGCACGCCTTGTCGTATAATCGATCACATCTTCGGGTACCACTAAATGTCCCGGCTGGAAGGTATCCCTTAGGGAGCTAAACGTGTTGGTCACTAAGATATGGGTGCAGCCCATCTTACGCATAGCCCATACATTGGCCCGGTAGTTAATGTTACTCGGCATGATGTCGTGGCTTCGGCCATTTCGCGACAGGAGACACACATTTACGCCATCTATTTGGCCATCGATGACCACATCTGATGGTTTTCCAAACGGAGTGCAGACAGCATATTCCATGCGCTCTTCCAAATATATGGGCTTGTCCAGATTGGCCTCTCCAATTATACCAATTTTAATTGGAATAGTATCCGGTTCGAGTTCGCTGTGTAAATCATCCTCCATTTGAAAGACAAATTTTGATAATTTTCTTAAAATTTATTTGCCTAAAAGTGAAATATAATCAAATACGAAATGTAATTTCCAGTTGCTTTGTCTCCTTCAATTTTGTAGTAATCCATTTTCACCCACAGATTTCCCAAGTGTTTTGTTAAGGAATATTTTCCCAGAAATTATAATCAAATATAGGCGCGTCTTATGGCTCAGTTCATAAATAATTGTATTTCTTACTGCCGCAATATTTAAAAAATCATTCTTATTTTTGATTTAACAACACTTACAGATTCATATAAAAGACATGGACATAGTATTCCCAATAACACACGACGCGATGAACATCAAGTAAATCCTTGGAATTCCAGGAAACCAGCAGCACAGGTTTGTGTATATACATATATGTTCCAAACCTTACAATTTAATTATCTTTAAAAATAATTAACAATAGTCGATTCGAAATGAGAACGATCACCCGTCTACAAAGCTGGATAACAGAACAAGCGATGAAGCACAAAATCAAGAAGTTACTGCTGCTCCCAAGAAGACAACATGGGCCTCTATTGCCTCTCAGCCGGCAAAACTAACATCCAGAGTAAGTACCTTGCACCTTTGGCCACCGACCGAAATATCATTATAACCTGGCTATGTATACAGGCAGCGTCCACCACTTCCAACAATAAGAAAAAGGGTCCCGGCATGCCACCACCACCAATGGTTCCAGGAAAGCACAATTTAGATGTTAACGTATGGGACTTGCCGAACAATAAACCACCTCCCGTACCTTCTCCTCCCTCGCCGATCGACTTGGGATATTCTGACTTAGGTTCTGATTTTTCCATATCGGGCAACACAGCACCTCCATTGGGCGCACGAACCGAGAAGGTGCACAAGGACACAGAAAACTTCCAGAAGTACGAACATAAGGGCTTGGGCAGCAACAATAATTTCAGCAGAGCCAAGGTTTCGCCAACGGGTCCCGTCCGAAGGAATCTAGGAACCCAGCAGCCTGTTCACCATGCAGCCCCTCGTCCAGCGACTAATTCAGGTCCCTTTGGACCACCCAACGCCAGGAGACACGAGGGCGTACCACATCCAAACCGAAACTCAGAGCGATCAGGCAACTATAACAGTTTCCGGAGCAACGAGTTTGAGAATGCTTCTAAATTTGAGTACCGGGACGAGAACCAATCACGACCGGTGGAAGCCACATCTGCAACCGAAGAGGTGCCTGTCGATCCCCAACTTCTGTTGGACGAATTAAAAGACAAAAACAATTACAACCCAAAAGTGGTGGACTTGAACAAAGCTGCAGAAGCCAGGTAAATTTACTATTGATATATGTTAGATTTCACAGCTTTCTAACAACCTTATTTATCCTTTTTCAGGTTCTTCGTCATTAAATCGTATTCCGAAGATGATATCCACCGCAGTATAAAGTATGAGATTTGGTGCTCAACCGATCACGGCAACAAGAGGTTGGATGATGCCTTCAAGGAGCGACACAAAGAGGGCGGCATCATAATGCTGTTCTTCTCGGTGAATGGGTCTGGCCATTTCTGCGGCATGGCACAAATGATGACGGCGGTTGACTATAACTCAACGTCGAGCGTCTGGTCCCAGGACAAGTGGAGGGGCAAGTTTAAAGTGAAATGGATATATGTGAAAGATGTGCCTAATGTAAAACTGCGTCACATTCGACTGGAAAACAATGAAAATAAATCGGTGACGAACTCGAGGGATACCCAGGAAGTTCCCAACGATAAAGGCATCGAAGTGCTCCAGATCTTGCACTCTTACAACCATTCAACGTCCATATTCGATGACTTCTTCCACTATGAAAAGAAGCAGGAAGAAGAGGTCTCCTCCAAGCGTCCGCCAATGCACGTACCCGATGGTAACAACCAAGTACAGGCCCCACTTGCCCGCAGTTTCAATCGCCAGGCGGACGATAAGGACAGGGATCGCGATGGACGCGGCGGCATGTCACAAAAACACTTTAATGCTGGAGGAGGAGCTGGTTTCCGAAATCCAGGTCATAGGGGCGGTGCCGGCAGTGGCGGTTCACACAGCAACTACAGCGAGTATCGTCGAGGCTTCGACATTCAGAAATCGGGCGGCGACTATCAGTTCAAGGACCGAGACGGCCCGGACTTTGACAGAGAAAATGACTTTGGGTCCCACTACGGATCCAATAACCGAAAAAATGAATATCAACAGAATAATACGAACAGGGCCAGGTTAAAAACCCGTGATCGTGATTTCAGTACTGAACAAATTAAAATCGGCGTGCGCTTTAAGGTGAGTGAGTCTCAAATTGCCTTCCAAAGACTTCGCTAATCAATTTTGATTGGTTTCTTCTTGCAGGACACCGACAAGGATAAAATGCGAAGCAATGAATATTCATAAATTTACTGAGCTGCGGTAGAAATCTTTTTTAAATGATATTGAATGGACATCCACAATCCGTTGAATTGCTTAGAGACGTTAAATTATAATTTTTAGATTTTTTAACCATTGCGTGTACAAGATAAAATCCCGATTCATGAAACAAACATATAAAACAAACATGTGGGAACTAGGATTAATGATTAAAATATGATAACATTTTTACGTAATTATTTATTACAATATTTATATAAATCTATTGACGCTCACATTGAACAGTTCATAAAAAATTAATGATCGATTTTGCCGATATATACAACATTTATAAACACCAAGGAGTCTGCTTCAGCCATTCCTTGTAGTTGCACTGTAACAATTTATACAACTTATTTGAATCTAAAGTGTACACGACTTATGTATGTATAATATAATTAAAGTAACCAATCCATCATTTACTCATTGACTAAATTATCTACATCTCTTAATATAAATCAGCTATTTGTAAGAGATTGATCAAAAATTTCCTTTCCAAAATGCTTAACTTAGTATTTTCTAAATAATACTTACCACATAAAGCAATATGGGCCGAAAATGATTACTTTCACAGCGCTATCCAATAAATTTACGTTAGTGGAAGACTGAAACAGTATAATTAAAAAAAGTCATGTACGTAACAAAATTAAACCCGACAAAAGATATAAACATAAAGCGAACTCATACTCTAAAATGCAAAGACTTATTTGATTAAAAAGCTATTATTTTCAGTTTAAGGAACAGTATGAAATGTTTGGTCTAATCAAAACAAATTATTAAACGATTTTCTAGAAGAATGGAGAACTAAGTGATTAATCGGGAGTTATATAATTCCGGATTCCTGTAGTTATTTCTTTTTGATTCAATTTGACTCCAAATGGTAAGTAATTAGCCGATGATATTATCTTGTTCGCATGTTTTATAAAAAATTAAGTAAAATATAAAGTTGTTCTTGACTTCTGGCAGTTGAGAAATGATCTAAACACATTTTAAAATGCAGTGTCCCCATAAAAGATTCACTTAAAATACAAATTTGGCGCCAACAGGATGCAATTGCTAGCAGTCAATACAGCATTGAATACGACCTGGTCACACTACTACACTCTGGTTATTGGCCACACTGCCACTCTACAGATTTTTCGAGGCGTAATTTACACTCTACACATTTGACAAACTTCCAACAAAGGGATAAATGCACCAGCAAAAGCATCGCTTGAAATATGATTCGAAAGGGAACGAGAGATCAAAATGATATATCGCTGATCATTGGGACGCTGCCTAAACGTCTGCAGAATAAAATCGCGGCCAGCTGCAGCCACAGCCACGCAGCAACAACAACAGCGTTGGAGACGGAAAACGCTGAAAATGCGGAGCCAGTTGCTACGACTGCGAATGCTTCAAGGCCAGGTAAACGTATGCATGACGCATTATATATACGTATATAGCATCTTTCGATTTCACCACAGTCGCAATCCTCAGCAAGGCGGCTCCTGGGAAACCTAATCCCGACGCGGCCCATCCCGTTTTGGATACCAGCGGGAAACTAGTGCGGGAAGGTGGAATTCCTGGCATCTTGCGCGTAGCACCCTCTGTAACGGGTGGTGGAAATAAAAATGGAAATGGCAAATGCGGACACAATGCTCGTCGCAGGGGTCGTAACGCGCACATTGGCAAGGATAAGGAGCATGCTCCGCAGTCGCCAGTTACGCGCACCCGTTTGACCACTGAGCATCCGGATTGGTTTGAACCTCTATTGAACATGCCACATTCGAAAAACATTGTCCAGTTGTATGATCAGCTAATGGTTCTAAATCAAAGGAATCTTATATTAGTGGTGAGTACGTACATTGTGCCCCAGAGATCCATAATTCATTAGAGAAACCTCCCCCAGAACTGGAAGAACTTTTGCTATATTCACGACCAGCTGCAGGACGCCTTCAAGCATCTTATTTTAGAACAGCTTAAGTTTGTGTGTGAGCACAAGGTCGATGTTTTCTTTTGGAAACTACTTTTCTACAATGTGCGGGATCACCTGAAGCGACAGCAAACGGACCAGGCGCACACCCATACTCTCATTTTGATTGAGCAAGCCACCAAGTTTTACCGCTTGGTCTACGACAAGTTGATGACCAAGTGTGTAGTATCGTCGCGTTGTGAGAGCGCTCTCAAAGTGGTGGCCCAGCGACTGCTTATATGCCTGGGTGATTTGTCGCGCTACCGGGTTAATCACGTTAAAGCTACGGACTATGTAGAGGCGGCTAAATACTATCAAAAGGCGCAGGAGCTGGTGCCCGGCAATGGGGCACCTTACAATCAGCTGGCGGTCATATCCATGTATCATGTAAATCGATTTAAAGCTCAAATTAATGTTATTCTCACTAATCTGCATATATATTCTTCAGCACAAACGATTTGATGCCGTTTACTATTACGTCCGTAGTCTGTTGACATCCAACTCAATTCAAACGGCCAAGGAAAGCCTTCTCGATTTGTTTGACGAGATTCGGCGCAAGTACGAGGAGACCGAGATGAAACAATCTCCCATGCATTGTGCAGTGGCGCCGAAGAACCAAAAGTCAAAACAGATGCGGAAAGAGGTCTGGATCTATCCAGACGGAATTCGACGCCTACATCGCACCGACGATAAGGGCAATAAGGCAAAAGGCAACAAGGCGACCGTGGCCGAAGTCAACCGTTATGAGGAGATGGCACCGGAGGAGCTTCTGCCTCGCATCGTTTCGCTTTATTTATATCTAATAGGCAAACTCTATACCGGTACAGAGTAAGTATATTTTATGAAAGAGAAAGCTGAAAACCGGTGTTTAATCTAACTTTAAAATCATTCACAGCGTGGACTCGTTATATCCATTGCTTAGGAAACTGCAAATACAAATGGGCGCTGCGCTTAAGCACAACAACCTGTTGTCACGCTCCAAACTGCTGAAAATTGTGGCACTCAACTTGTTCGTCGTCGAGCACAACAAACGGAAAAGTATGAATGATAACGGCTAATCATGGGTAAAATTAATGACTTGTTTTTGTTGTATAGCGTCACGCCGGGAGATGCGTTATCACAGCTTTAATTTTGCCAACTCATTTTTTGGACTCATGCTGAAGAAAATAAACCAGTTGCTGGTCGGTTTCGTGGAGGACTCTACAAATATCCAGTGTCTTCCAGAAGAAGAGTACGAATAACCATTGCTGTTCATAAGAATTATTGTTTATTATCATTCTATTTTAGCTTTACAACAGTCAACACTTATTTGCAGTATGTAAAGGTTTATGTTCATTGGTTGAGCATCAATGTCGATGTTTGGGAACCTGTCAGAACGGAAGAGTATGTATTATATTTCTTATTCTGTATAATAAGTTTGGAGTGTATACTTATAACAATCTTTGTCCAACAGACATTCTTTCATAGATTGCTGGGCTGAGCTATTCACTCTATTCGAGTACATTGAATGCCTTTTAGGAAAGCAGAAACCGGGAAAAAAGGAAATTCTTTTGGATGAAGATATTGCCCTTAGCGGATTTAGCCCATTGGGTCGTGAATCGATGAGCAAGGATTGCCTCAAACGCGGACCAGAACGCGTTCAGTTCATCGAACGTATGCGAAGGATTGCTCAGTTCCAGGACTTTTATGGCCAGCATCAAAAGTCTTTGCAACAGCCTCTGGACTCGAGCTTCACCATTGAGGATCTAAACGCAGCTATGAAGAACGCCTTGGAAAGCTTTGACGCTGAAAGTTGTGGTCTTGCAGTAAACGTGTCAAAGGTCCAAAGTCAAGCTGTTGAGGAATTGCTATGTCCTTCCACTGACGCAGACGTATCCCAGCTGTGTAAGCTGAAGAAGGAACTTGAGGCCAAGGCTAAGGTTAAGCAGATATGCACCAGCAAGCTAGAGGAAATCCTCAAGTTCGTGGACACCAAAATTTACATTGAAGTGCGTCCGCGTTATCTTCTACCCGACACCAACTGCTTCATCGATTGTCTAGAGGACTTTGAAAAACTATCCACAGAGTTCAAGCGTTACACTCTAATTATACCATTGACAGTGGTCAAGGAACTAGATGGATTGTCCAAGGGCGTTAAGTTGGACTTATACCGCAGCTCGAAGCAAACACAGCGCATTCACCACTTTGACGAGGTGTCGTCTCGGGCAAAAAAGTCGTTGGAGTTTATCAAGTCGGCCAAGAGCAATGTCAAGTAAGCTATTGTTTTGTTTTTTGTTGGTTACTGATTTCTGATTTCGACTTAATGGGTGAAATCGAAGCCAGTTTTTTCTACGTATACATTTATATTATTTTTTGAAATGATGTCAACTTGCCTTTGCAAGTCTATAGTCATGCTTATTCATTATTAATTTCATTTTTAGATGTGCTACCACAAAAGGCTCATTTGTCAATGCTTCGGTGTTTGCCTTAGTTGAGGAAGAGTATCTATCTAACGACGACAAAATTCTGGCAACAGCCGTGGCTGTATCAAAAACGGCCAAAACCGAACAATGCACAGGTAAGCAAAATTTGATTTTCGTTTAAAAATAATACTTAATAATTTTATTTCAGATGGCAAGTGTTTCATTCAAACGGAATTAGTTCTTATTACCACCGATCGTAATCTTCGTGTCAAAGCCCTTTCTCGGAATTTAGCAGTCAGCGCATTGGATGAGTTCCTGCAATGGGCAAAGGATTGTCGTGACTCAACCTGAAGGCCCAGTTGGTTTGCAAATAGACCGGCTAACAATGTAAATGAACTCGTCCGTCGCATGATGCGGTGTGGAGCGAGCTCGAGCTAATATATTACCTACATTATACATAAATGACTATGTAAGTCGGGGTCGGCAGATGCAGACACATACGCTGGCCGCGGATACGTACACGACGTGGGTTCCAGAGGACTGGGACACGGGTACACAGGCGCGGATGTTGTGTTGTTTCCCCGGGGTGATGCTTTGTCCAAGCACATCACGTTGGTTTTCAATCATCTAATTTGTTTTTTCTCATTTCAAATTTATATTTTGTGACTTTCGGAATAATTAAATCATTTTGGATTGTTGTTCAATTAATATTCTGATTATTATTGGTTGGGTAAACTTGGAGAAAATCTAAAACCCGATTATAACAGTTCAAAAGATAATTCAATAGTTTTTAAGAGGAGAAAAATATTTGTATATTATTTATTGCATCAGTGTTTAGTTTATTTGAAACTAGTTAAACGGTGTACATTACATATAGATTGTGTTGCTTTGCACTTGGTATCCTAAATATGCTCTCTTTGATGTAGAAATATAAAATCTATGCAGTATATGCAAATCTAACAATCACATTCGATTAAAATCTAACATTACAAGCGACAGATAAAACAGACATCAACAACAACAACTAGAGCTCGTTGATTCAATAATCATTGGGCATCGGCGTCGACATCGGCATTAAATGCCCGACACGAATCGGTTTTAGTGATTTTTCAAATCAAATATTTCACGCAGCAAGGGCTCCACCTGGGATGGGTTAACATTCAAATAGACATTTATAATGAATTTGTTCAGACGCTCCACGTCTGAAATCTTTTGGATTAGCTTGATAAACGCGTCTCTCGCCTCACAGCCAGAATAAACACTCTCCAGATATCTTCGCAGAAGATAATAGTAGGAATTCTATGGAATCAAAAAGAAAGTATGCTTTTTAACTTATTTGAAAGCACATAACAAGGACACTTACTTGTTCCAATCTAATCACGTCTTTGTGAATCACTCGTGATCGTGCCGAGGTAAAGAGGACGATGGCGCACATGATCAGGATTATGTTCTCGTCCATGCGCCACTTCTCGTCGAATGTTGTGATGAACTTTTGGTGTTCCTCGTAGATATTACCTTCGGCGAACTTGAGCAGGTCAGTGCGTATGTTGCCCATGTTCTCTTTGGTGTGGGGTACCTGTAAAGCAAATAAAAATTAGTCCAATACAAAATGCATTAGATTAATTAAAGTTACCTTCCAGGCGTCTCGATCGTCGTCGTAAATCATGACAGAGCGCATTATCATCATTTCTGTGCAGCCCCCTTTGAGTAGGGCCACCTGGTCCTCCTGGCACATGTCACGGAATGCTGTAATCTTCTTGGCCATTTTGATAAGCCGCTTGATGGCCACCGCCGTCAGATTGATCAGCTGCAGTAGCTTTGGGTTGTGGCGAGTGTCGTCGGGCTGTGGTTGACAAAACAAACAAACGAAACGGAACAGAACGCACAGGTGGCCATTATTATCGCCATAATCGTAAAGGCTTCTCCCTGGAAAGTGACTCAATCGAGTGGTGGAGCACCGCTTATCATAGCGCCCAACACCTGGCTGCTCTATATATTTCGTCAAAAAATTGTATCGTTTTACCTAATTAACAATACTGAAATGTGCTAATTGCGATGAGGCGAAAACGGTAAACAATTTAAGCGACAATAAACGGCCAAATCAACGGTTAGAGACTCATGAGCGCCTGCTGGTGCTCTTGATAATGGTTGATAGTGTCACAATTGGCACGCCTAGAGGCTGATAAAGCCACTGTCTGCCCTGCTCATGGCAGACCAGACGCTCTGATTGCATGAAAGCTAGGGTGGCTCGATTTATTGGACAAAACGATTCGTGGGAGAGGTGAATCATGTATGGATAATTTTAAGTCACTTCGCCTGAGGTTTTAAAGGTTTAGTGGAACTGTTGACACATCTCAAAACATAAAGGTAAAGCTAGTTATAAAAATATGTATCTTGTTTAAACGAAAAATAACCACATTTGTTTACATACTCAGCTAGAAAGAAATAAAAGCGGTTTGTCTGTTCTAGGGTCTTAGTTTAAGGCCAATTTTCGTAATCAAAAAAACATAAGCATTTGCTTAGAAGAAGGAAACTATAATTAGAAGCAGGTGTACTACTTTAAATTGGTTTTAACCCTCTTAACTGTTTCATGGAAAAATGACTTATCATGTTCAATTAATTTCTTTTGTCTTCAAAATCCGAGCCACCCCATTGAAAATTGTGTTTACATTCGGGAGAGGTGCAATGCTGGGACTTCAGAAACTGGCTGTTGGAGACACAGCCCATAGGCCATCATTGAGATACGCACTGAATCACCGAATGACCAGAAACTGCCAGGTGCCGAATGTACATATATCGCCGCTTGCACACTCCGATTAGATAAGCCTTAGTGTTGGAGCTATAAATGAAAGAACGATAGCCTAATACCGTAGGGTGGTGGTTACCTTAATGCGATCATCGCCCATCATCAGGGCGCTTAGATCCTCGTCCACGGGATCGTAGAGAGCCTCACTGGCCAGACGCAGCTCCCGCAGTTTCATCTGTTCCGCCTCGTTTAGTTCACGATCCATCTGATGTGTGGAGGGCGCGCAAATGGGCTGCTGCAGGTGCTGGTTACTGTTTCCAGTTGAATTGCATCCGCCGTAGGATGCCTGATTGCCGCCCATGTATGACATTTCCTCCTTGACTTTCGATGCTGCGTGCTGTATGCTATTGAAGGCCTGATACTCAATGCGAATCACCTCGGAGAGCACTGACTCGATTGAGTTAATGCTAAAGTCGCTGTCAAGGCTGGGCTCGTCGTTGTAGTTGGTCTGCATAAAAGTCTTCAGATCAAAGTCCGGCGAGTTGGCTATGTAAGGCAAAGGATGGCTACTCGATGTGCTGGGCTGCTCTCCAGAGGCGGGCGAGTGGTACTGCAGATCCACGGCAGCGTCGTTCGGAGAAATCGGCGGGCTATTACCTAGCATGCTTTGGATGACGGTGTCAACTCGCTCCGCCGGCGGAGGAGGTTTCACCGCTGGCTCCTTCTCCAGCAATGGTTTGCGGTCTGTTGTCTGCTGGCCTGCGTTTGCCCCACCGCCGCTTAGGATACGGTTTAGGATGCGCAGCGCCTCTGCTGGCGTGTTCATGAATTTGTTCATTATATCAATGGCATCCTCCGGCGAATGCATCAGGTTTTGCATAAACTCAACAACATCCGCAGGTGAATCAACTATTTTTGATATAATTTCCACGCCGTCCGTAGGTGAGCTCATGAACTTGGTGAATACTGTATATTTAAGAGATTTAATATTAAAAGTAATAAAACACTAATTCTAAACACTAACCTGTCAGAGCGTTGAAGGGCGAGTTCATAAACTTGCTAATGATCTTGAGGGCGTCGCCTGCAACGATTCAAAGGGGTCTTAGGTTAGCGGAGAAGGCCACAACTACTACTTAAAGCACCCACCTGGATAGTCGATCAAGTGCGATACCAGTTTCAAGGCGTCCTTTTGTGAACTGATAACCTTCTCCATCACTGAAATAGCCTCCTTTTGGGTCCGCATCAGCCGGTTGATAGCCTGTGATGCTCGATCTGGGTCTGATACAATTTGGTCGACGATCTTTTCGGCTGTCATCTGCAGCGGGTTGACCTGTGAACCCGTGGAGCTGGCCTGGCCGCCGGAGCACCCGTTTGCACCGCTGTCTGCGGAGCCGCAGCTCTGTGAGTCCTGTGATCCGGAGTACAGGTCAAGGTTGCTACTACTGCTGTCAGCTGGGGCTTTGTGGTCATCTATATCGCCGCCATCGGCGTCGCCTCCATCTGTGCCGTTCTCCATAAGGCGTCGCTTGGCCCGGTTGGTCTCGATCTTCCGGCGCTTGATCAACTTGTCCTCCTCAGACATGATGTTCTCGCTCTTCATCCCGATGTCCAAGCACTTGCGCAGGCGGCATTTCTGACAGAACCGACGGGTGACCACGGTGATATCGCAGTTCTGGTTGAAGGGGCAGGTAAACTGCTTCTTGGCCAGAGCGTTCCTCCGGAAAAAAGCCTTGCAGCTCTCACAGGTGACAGCATTGAAGTTGTAGCCCAGCGCCTTGTCCCCGCACACCGCGCAGTTCTTCGGCGACATTTCGACGGAGGCAGCTTTCAATTAGGGCCCTCTGATTGATTTTTTAATTGCCTTTCCTAATGGTGTGGTGGAGCAGCTGCTGGTTGAGGAGGAGGAACTAGGTGGGTGTTTGGGTTGGTCGTGTGATGTGTGGCAGGAATTGCGCGAATCAAAACAAGTCTCTGTGCGGCAGCATAGTAGTTAGTACCCACGTCAAACGCACGAATTTCAGAATTCGGCAGCTCGCGTTATCACCACATATTTTAATGAATTACTGTCCGTCCGAGCGCTCCAGCCCAATCCCAATAACAACAAGCGACGTGCCCGGGCGAATGTCAAACGCAATTATGAGCACTTCTGCGGAACTGTAAGTCAAATGCACTGAGAAAAAAATTAAGAAAATCTTTTAATGTGATATGATGCTTATACAACTGTACAACTGTGCAACTGTAAACTATTAGAAAGTGCACTAAATGATTGTATTTGATTTTAAAGTTTAAATATGATATTAATCTTAGGTCGTAATAAATTATGATAAAATTGAAATCCAAATTTTAGTTCACGAACCGGTTACCGGTTCACACTTATCGCCTATCGGCACTGCCTATCGATATCGGTGTTCCTAGCAGGAGAAGTTTTTACTAAAAATTAAAAAAGAAATTAATCAATTAAAATGAACCGAGTTAAGACCACACAATCTAAGACAGGCGAAATCATCGCTTACAGCGAGGGCGCTATCCGGAACAACATATCCGCCGTGGAGTACTGTCGGACATCTATGGCTGCCATCTCCGGATGCGCTGCTGGTAATTGAGCTTAATTCATGCATTTTCAACTAAATTAACACAGCTGATTTACAGGTATTCTGGGTCTTAGTGGAACCCTTGGCTTCTTGTTCTACTTCCTGTCCGTATTCGTTCTTTGGATCCTGGTGCTCCTGAAATCAGGCACCCAGTGGCGCAAGTTCTTCATCAACCGCAGAAATCTGCTGACCAACCAGTTCATGGGCGGCCTTTGCACCTACGTGCTCTTCTGGACATTCCTTTACGGCATGGTTCACGTGTATTAGCGCATTTACAAAACAATCACATATATAGAGAAATAAACATAGGATCTTTGGTTTAACACAACCCATCAGGTTTGTACCGCAGAGGCAGCCGCTGCCGTACCGGAGCAGTCGCACCACGGCGTTTTATTAACATCACAATCGAGCAAAATATTGAGGATGGTCACCGGCACTTGGTCAATGATCATCTCGTGCACCTTAAGTATTTTATAATTGACATTGTCCAAGCCCGTCTTGTGGTCCCGCTTGCGAGTCATCTCCTTCTGGTTGAAACACTTCTGAGTGTCCCGTTTGCGATGATGACGGTTGTGGATATGGCTAAGGAATAATAATACTTATAAGAACTGCTCATTAAGAGCTAGGACAGCTGGTCTCACCTAAATGTGTCATTTGTGCCAGTCTTAATGTTTTGTGGCCGCGTCACCTGGAGTCCTGCATCTCGGATGCGCACGAAGAACTCGTCGTCCTCCAGTCCCCAGCCCCAGTACTGATTGGACATGCCGTTCATCTGCTGGAAGTGCTCCCGCCGTACCAACAAGATCCCTCCGACAAAGTTATCGTAGTGGTACTTCGGATGCAGCTTGGGTCCGGCGATGTGCAGGGGACCCAAATTGCTGGGATACTCGTAGCGCAGATTGTCGTTTAAAGGCAACAGGTCCACGTCGTGCATGGCAATATAATCATATACTTCGTTGGAAAACTGAAAGCCCACGTTTATGAGGGATGCGCGATTGAAGCGGAATCTGTCCACCTGGTTCAGCACGAAGATGTGATGCGCCACTCCCTGGCGTCGCAGGAATGCGGTCATGTGAGGCACGAACTGGAGTAGCTCCTCGAACCGATCCCGGAACGGCACCAGCAGTGCCATTTTGTGGGCGGCCCCACCGTGGTCATGTGGTTGCTCTTTCTGCACAGCCAATCCTCCCTCTCCGACGCCAGTCAGCCTGGTCAGCGGGTTTGACAGCGGACAAACACAGTCTATAAAAAGAAAGGCTCCCGGATCAGTATTAAAAGGAGGTCTTCAAATTTTGCATACGAACCTGAGCCCAGTGGCATGAAACTGAGGACCGCAATCCCGCCCACGCAAAAGGATAGGCCACAGACGAAGAGCCAATTTATGGTGGATATATTCACCATTTGGAGGAGCTTATAGTTAGAGGACCAGGGGTTTGAACGGAATTAGGCCATAAGCGGAAATTGTTATAAATTGTTTAGCTGCCGGTTGAAAGTGTGCCCGTAGCTGGATTTTTTGGAAATACCGTAAACTTGTGATATTTTTCGATTATTTGTACGATAAAAATGGAGTTAAACTTTTTTGGTGAGTTTTTATTTCAAATTCAAATTATAATACAAAATTATCGTTTTTATCTGTATATTTAAAATTAAACCATTATTTTTTAGAGAAACCCTTCATTTATCTTATGTTTAAGAAGCTTTAATTTTTAGTTATTAAAACAAATGTTTCGTTACCCTAATTGATATCTTTCCACAGTTTTATAAATTGTATCGATCATTCAAAATAACCATTTGACTTTAGGTATAATTTTGTTAAATAAAAACACGCTGATATACATTTCAATAAAAAGCGTTGTATTTATTTATTAGATTACAAAGAATAGCTGCATATAAATTATGATAAGGTATGGAAACACAAGAGCTGTTCTTAAAAGGCATATGAAATAAATAAGATCTAAATTAAAATTTATTTATTTATTTTTAAAATTAAATACTTAGGGCTACAACTATATTTAGAGATTATATAAAACTAATTGATGCTCGTATTCATTCAGCGTTATTAAAACGTTGAAGATTACAGGTTACGGTCTATTGCTAAGGCTCAAGTGACTGAAGATCCATTCGTTTCTTTTTATCCTACGACCAATAAAGTAATTACCAGCGCGGCAGCTGGTAGTTAAAAAAAATAGTTTACAAAGATAACTCCTCTTCGATCTGTTTGATTTTCAGTCAGTCGAGCAGTAGCCATATCCGACAGTGTTTTTTTTTGTTTATCTTTGCGGTTCCGTAATTAGTTTCCGTTTCAGTTTCAGTTTCAGTTGATCTAAAAATTCTATGTAGACTACGGTTTGGCCACCTCATATGCACCTGACCCTGGTGCTGGTGCAGGTGCAGCGGGCGAAGTACAAATTCAATCCGTTAAAACTATGCAATTTGTGCGTTCGTTTTGTAAAATTGCTATAAAAACTAGTTCGTTCGTTTCTCCACTCTACACGTATTTTGTATATAAAAGTATAAAAGCTTGGAATAGTTCATAGAAGATACAGTTTCTCAACTCAACTCAACTCAATTTGATTCAATTTCCCCGATCCAATCTAATCTGATCTGATTCTGATTTTGATTCTGATTTGATCGATCGAATTGATCGGGTTGTGCGCGTGTTACAGGCGGATTCCGTTGCTCTTGCAACAAAAGAAGACTAGAAGCAACAATTATACACAAAAATAATAATGTTTAAAATAAGGTGACTAAAATACTATAAAAGCGCATTGGAGAAGAGTGAGCCGCCGGATGTGGGCAAGTGTAGAATCCTGTCCGGCGGCCGAATGCCGTGGCTTCGTAACGCCATTGATTGCGATCCGTAACCGGAATATTTTCGCTATACATACATATTTTTTTTGGGGGTGCTGAGAGTCTCCTGAAAGCGATTGTATGGCGGCGGGCACAATGAACGACCTTACAAGGCACGCGCTACGTCGGCTGCTGTGGTGGCTATATGTCCTGTCACTAGGGTCACAAGCCCAAAATACTAGTACACATACAAATAAGTAATCGTTTTAAGTGAGCGCGTCTAAATTAATTGCACCTATACTATGTATACAGTACAATATCACTGGTTGCTTCGTCACCGTAACCTAATCCGAAACAAGTGGGGGGCGTAATCCAATTGAAAGTGTGCAAATGTCGGCAAACCCAAATTAACACTATTGCATCTTGTCCTGGTTCACTATTGCTTTTGGCTTTTGGCACCTATTTCTATGGTATTCCGTTTCTAGATTCTGTATCTGGTTTCTGGTTTCTGCTAGTTGTTTCTGGCTCTAGTGGTGATCTCTATTGCTATTGCTGCTAGTTGGCGAGTGGTGCTATCTGGGCTGGTTGGTTCGTCGGTTCGTGATTGTTGTCTGCAGTGCTTAAGAATTAGTTAAATTATATTTAGTGAGCATGGCTGGTGGTTCATCTCTTGCGTCCCGACGCCACGGCGGCCATCACCTGCTGCATGGTGGGTTCGGGGACGCATTGCTGGGGATCGCACTTCATCTTGCCGTCTCCACCGCAACTGAAACGGAAGAAAAACAGATTCAGGTTAATTGTTAGCCAGATAAAGAAAGAAATGGGGAGTATCTCTAACTCAGGAAATCTTCCGTATACTTACGTGCAGCTGATGCAGGGACCGCTCGTGGACTCGATTTGCTGGCCCACGCGGTAGGAACGGCCGTTGATCAGGCAGCCGGTGTGCTTTACCGCCTCACCGTGCGAATAATGCATGAAGTGGGGCGGCAGGGTGGTGCTGGTCGTGGTGGTGCTCGTGGTGATGTTCAACACAGCGGCCATGGACACTGGGCACTCGTAGCGTGGGCAGCAGAAGCCAGAGATGGGCTCCTCGTGGCAGCCGGCGATTGGCGGCGGGCACGATTGCTGCAGACAGATGATGTCGCTTCGGAAGCAGAAGCAGAAGTCGCAAGGATCGTCACGTGGTATCTGTTGGGCGGACACATACAGTTTGCCAGCGTAACGGCAAGTACCAGGTCCGAAGACTTCCTCCTCGTCGTACTCGTCCTCGTACTCAGGAGCATGGCCATAGGGTGGTGGTGTGATTGGCTGCTGCTGTTGGCTGGCCACCGTCGTTGTCGATGGAGCTGCTGTAACAGGAGCATCTGTGGTGCTGGAACTGCTCAATTTGACGGTGGTGTTCTCTTCTTGATCTTCGCCCACGCGATCATCGATGGCTGGCGCCTTGGTAGAGCTGCTTGGCAGGTGCGAGAACAGTGGGTGGGAAGTGGTGGGAATGGCCTCATCACTTGGCTGAGGAATCTCCGAAACTACGGCGGGCACCTCAGGCTCCTCTGGCACTGGTTTCTTGTCAGTTTCCTCCTCAGTCTCCTTGCTCTCATCCTCCTTGTCAGCTGCCTCCGTGACTGGAGCATGTTCCTCTTCGGACTCAACAGACTCCTCACCCTCCTCGGTGGAATCCAAGCTGGGCTTCACGACTGGCTCTGGAGTGGTCTTCTCGTCAATTGATTCTGGCTGTTCAGTGGCCTTTTCTGGTACCTCCTTCTCTAGGTCTGGTTGTTCCGTGGTCTTTTCTGGCACATCCTTCTCCGCCTCTGGAGCTGCTGTTTCTGGCACCTCCTTCTCAACCTCTGGAGCTGCAGTTTCCGGTACAATCTCAGCCTCTGTGACTGGAGATTCTGATGGGATCGCTGGTGCGGGAGTAGGTGGCTTCAGTTTAGCATCAGCTGCGGGCTCATCAGTGCTATCCTCGGCATCATGGACAGCTGGTTCGGTGCTCTCTTCACCAACATCTTCAGATACAGAAGGCTGCTCGCTGCTTGGCTCCACATCGAAAACAACTGGAGAAACTGGAGTAGGAATGTTTTCATCATCCACAGGTGCTGCTGTAGATGCAATCTTTTCGTCATCAAGAGGAGCTGCTGTAGCTGGAATCTTCTCATCATCCACAGGAGCAGCAGTAGGTGGAACTTTCTCATCAGTGCGAGGAGCCAGCGTGGATGGGATTTTGTCTTCATCTTGAGGAGCCGCTGTAACTGGAACTTCCTCACCATCCTGGGGAGAAACTGTGGCTGGGGACTCATCAGCATCCTGGGGAGAAACTGGGGCTGAAACCTTATCAGCATCCTCGGGAGCCGCGGTAACTGGAGTCTTTTCAGTGTCGACGGGAACTGCGGTAACTGGAGTCTTTTCAGCATCCTGAGGAGACACAGTAACTGGAGACTGGTCTTCATCCTCAGCGGATGTGGGCGCAGACTCATCGGCAGTATGCGGAGCAACAGTCTGGGACATGCTCTCTTCCATTGGCTTCGGTTCGATTTCCTCGGCAGACGGAACATCCATTGAAGGAGTAGAAGAATCAGCAGTGGAATCAGAGGCAGGCGATGCAGCAGTAGTGGCTGCAACTGGAGCCTCGGTTTTATCTTGTTCTTCATCCTCTTGGGCAACGGGAGAATCGGTGGATACATCAATAGATGTCTTGGTATCATCCTGGGGAGCAGCCACTTCTTTCTCATCGGCCACTGGTGATACAGTGGTGGCATCCTTAGTTTCATCGTCTTGAACAGCAGGCGAAACTGGGCTAGCAGCAGTGCTCGATTCTTCCTTGGTAGGAGCGACTGTGGAAGCTTTGTCAATGGGTCCAGATGTTGCAGAGGCAGTGTCCCCAATGGGCTTCTCGTCAGACTCTTCAGTGCTGGGCTTGGTTTCAGATTCCACTTCCTGTTCAGGTACTGTGGGTTCCTTTTCGGATGATTCAGGAATTTCAGCAGATGGTGCAAGGGTTGGTTTGATAGCTTCTCCCTCCTCTTGGACAGGCAAGGCAGTAGTGGCATCTTCCTCCTTTTCGAGGTCTCCACCAGCAATTGGGGCAGACGTAGACGAAGGAACCGCCTCCTCTGCCAGCTCAGGCACTTGAGTTGCAGTCTCAGGTTTCTCTTCTGCCACCTTCTCGTCCACGGGCTTCTTGTCTTCTTCTTCTGGTACCTTGTCAGTGGAAGAAGGCTCATCTTCAGATGGTTTCTTATCCTCTTCAGCCGCTTGCGGTGCGACAGTAGTGACTTCTGGACTCTGGTCTTCCTCACTGGAAACTGAGGGAATCTTTTCGTCCAACGGACCAGAGGTATCTTCATCGGCGGCAACAGGAGCAATGGTTGTAGGTTTCTCGGCACTTTCAACTGGCAGTTCGGTGGAGATTTCAGGAATCTTCTCAACTGGAGCTTGGGCCGTGGATGAGGGCTGCTTGTCTTCAGGCTGCTCTTCAAGACTTGCTTCAGTCGATGGCTCAATTTCCTCAGAAGATTCAGTAGGTCCCTCCTCAGGAGTTTCAGTGGAGGCAGCCTCAGTTTCAAGCTTATCTGCGGGGGTGGCGATCTTAGCAGGAACCTCAGTGGATATGTCCTGTTCTGTGGGCTTCTCTTTCTCCTCTTCCTCAGATGGCTCTTCTCCACTTGGTTTTTCTTCCTCAGTTGGCTTCTCTTCCTCAGTTGGCTTCTCTTCCACTGGTTTCTCTTCCTCAGTTGGCTTCTCATCCTTCTCAGAGATAGGAGCCACTGTGGTGACTTCTTGATCGATTTCAGTAACAGCAGGTTCCTCTTGGCCAATGCTTGGAGCAGCAGTAGTTTCACCTTCCGCCTTAATTCCGGTTTCGGTCGAAGGCTGAGGAATCTCAGCAAGAACTTCCTCGGGCAGTCTCTGGATAGGAGGCACTTCATCAGCGGTCGTTGGAACTGTGGTGACCTCAACAGCTTCCTCTTCTTTCTCTGGAGTTTCAGCAGGAGTTTCAGGTTTCTCCTCGGCCACCTGAGATGGCGTCTTAGCCGTAGATGTTTCCTTGTCCTCTTCTTCAGAAGATTCAGGAATGCCAGTGGGAGTTTCTGTGCTGGTTTCCTTCTCTACATCTTCATCAGGCTTGGCAACAGGAGCAGAAGTGGCAGAAGCTTCCTCATCGGGAGTGATGCTGCTTGTTGGAACCTTTTCATCAGCGGGGGCAACAGTTGTGGGCAATTCAGATTCAGGGGTTTCCTTGCTCTCGTCAGATGCAGGAGCTCCAGTAGATGCTTCTTCAGCGCCTTCCTTAGTAGGAGCAGCTGTGGTTGCGCGATCAGATTCAGGCTCAATCTCATTTTCAGCAGAAGCTGATGTGGAGGTCTCGTCTTCAATAGGCTTCTGTCCATCTTCGACTGGTTTCTCTTCATCTTCGACTGGTTTCTCTCCTTCTTCAACTGGTTTCTGCTCATCCTCGGCCTTCGCTGGAGCTGGGGTGGTAATGGCGGCAGGCACTTCCTCTTCAAAGATATCTTGAGGCAGCTTGGGCAAATTGGACTCCTCCTCATCGCCAACAGCTGGGGCAACTGTGGTGCCCTTTTCTTCGTCTTCAACTGTCTTTTCAGTGCTTGGGGCCTTGTCCTCATCAGCAGATACTGGAGCAGGAGCAGGAGCAGGAGTAGCATCGCCCTCGATTTCATTGTCTGACTCGGATGTCTCATCAGAGGTATCCTTCTCAACTTCAGCGCTTGGTTCAGTGCTGATTTCAGCCTCAGTGGAGCTCTCTTCCTCGACAGGCTTCTCTGGCTGTGCTGGGGCAAGTGTGGGCAGTGGTGGTCCATGCACGATTGGCTTCTGGGTGGTGATTTCAATTTCACTTTCAATGGGCACCGAGGTAGGAGGAACGATATCTTCATCGCTAGCTGGTTCCGTTTCATCAGAAGCCTTCGATGGAGCAACAGTCGTGAATTTATCAGATTCTTCGATCTCATCGCCAGCTGGAACACTAGTCTGAACTTCAGGAATCTTATCGGTCTCAGGCGCCACGGTAGCTGGAGTTGGTTCCTCAGCCTCTGGTTTCTTGTCGAGATCAGCAGCTGGCAACTCAGTTGCGGACTCAGGTGACTCCTTCTCGGGCTGAGCTGTGGTAGCTTCTGGGATGGCCTCAGCCTTAGTCGGTTTCTCTTCTGCAGCGGGTTTCTCATCTTCGACAGGCTTGGCTTCTTCCTCACTTGGAATAGGAGCAGATGTCGTGGCCAGTTTGTCTTCAGTCTCCTTCTCGGCATCGTCGGCAAACTGGGAGGGAGTGGAAGACTCGGGTTGCTCAGTGGCTGCCAAGATTTCATCTTCCGGCTTCTTCTCGTCCTCGGGCTTAGGTTCCTTGTCAAGTGGTTTCTGGGTTTCCTGTTCGATCTCATCAGCAGGTGTGACAGCAGGCGAAGGCTTCTCCTTTTCTTCTGAGTCCTCAGCTGGTTTCTTATCCTCCTCGGATTCTTCAACTGGTTTCTTATCCTCCTCGGATTCTTCAACTGGTTTCTTATCCTCCTCGGATTCTTCAACTGGCTTCTTATCCTCCTCGGATTCTTCAACTGGTTTCTTATCCTCCTCGGATTCTTCAACTGGTTTCTTATCCTCCTCGGATTCTTCAACTGGTTTCTTATCCTCAGCGGATTCATCAACTGGTTTCTTTTCGGCCTGTGCAGTGGTAGATTCCTCAGCCTGTGAGGGAACGGAGGTTACTGGTTGGATCTCTTCATCGGGCTTGACATGAGAAAGAGGACGCTCAGTAATGCCAGTGGGCATGATGACGTCCTTGGGAATTTGCTCAGTGCTGATCTCGGAGACATCCTCGTCGATCTTGTCGTCGGGCTTAGCAGTAGAGTCCTGTTCCTTTTCAGCACTTTCAGCGCTCTCATCGCAGACGTAAGTGGGACAGCAACCATCCACAAGATCGGCAGCCAGGGTACATTTCTCCAGGTTCTCGGGCAACTTGCACTCCATTTGCTGGCAAGACACGAGGCTGCTGATGCATCTGCAGGACACGTCGCAGGGAGCAGTTGCGGGCACAATAGTGTTGTTGGCATAGGTCTTGCCCTCCACCAGGCAATCACCTTCGCCTGGAATAACAGCGGGCAGATCCATGGCGGGCAAGGGCTCGGAGGAGGAGCTTTGATCCTCTCCACTTGGTGGCTGTGTTGGCTTCTCTGTTTCGAAGTCATTGCGATTGTCAACCTTGGCAGTGCTGGATGATACTTCCTGGGGCACAGGGGTGGTCTCCACAGGCTTAGATGGCTCTTCTTGGGCAGAGGGTTCAGTGGCTGATTGCTCTTCCTCCGAAGAGTCCTTTTCTCCAGCGGGAGGCAGATAGACAGAGGTTGGCTTATCTGTAGCGGTTTCATCGCTGGTCTCAGGCTGACTGGTGGAGGCTTCGGCATCGACAACGGGTGGCACAATATCGGATTTGGTTGGCAGCTCAGTGCTTGCCTGTACATCTTCCTCATCCTTCTGATCCTTGTCTGCAGGCTCACCTGCTGGGACCTCCTCTTTGTCAACGGGGGTAACAGTGGATGGCTCGATTTCAGCCTCCTCGGCTTCGGTTGAGGACTCCTCTTTGGTCTTCTCGGTAGTGGTGGTCCTGGCAGTTGTGCTCTGGACTGCATCCTCGACTGGCAAGTCTGTGGCATCCTCTTCGACCTCATCTTCGTCCTTGTCATCGGAAGTGGGTTCGGTGGCGCTGGCTTCATCCTTGTCGCCAGCTCGGGCAGGAGCCGTAGATGTCGTTTCAACTGAACCCTCCTGGACACCTTCGGTCGAGGAAGCAATTGCTGGGGCACTGGTCGAGCTTGGTAGATCACCTTCTTCCACTGGCAACTCGGTGGATTCCTCCCCAGTTTGTTGCTGCTCTCCGAGGGTCTTTGGAGTGGTGGCCTTGACAATCTCCTCTTCGGCACTGATATCTTCAGTTGGGATTGGTGTTCCGGCAATGGGTTCTTCTTCAGCCTCAGCGATTGGCGTTGTGGGCTTAACCAAGTCCTCGCCTTCTTTCTCCGGAACTTCCGTGGCAGTCTCTGGTTCTTTGATGCCCTCGAAGTCGGTCTTAGGAGCAGAAGTGGTAGCCTTGATGACTTCCTCTTCGCCTTCGCTGCTGGATTCTGGAGCAGGTGTTGTTTCCTTGACGATCTCTTCCTCGCCTTCGCTGCTGGATTCTGGAGCAGGTGTAGTTCCCTTGACGATCTCTTCCTCGCCTTCACTGCTAGGTTCTCCGGCGGGTGTGGTTTCCTTGACGATCTCCGGCTCTCCTTCACTGCTGGATTCTGAGGCGGGTGTGGTTCCCTTGACGATCTCCTCCTCCCCTTCGCTGCTGGATTCTTCGGAAGGTGTGGTTGCCTTGACGATCTCTTCTTCTCCTTCGGTACTAGCGTCTCCGGCAGGTGTGGTCTCCTTGATGATCTCCTTGTCTGCATCGCTGCTGGTTTCTCCGGCAGGTGTGGTTCCCTTGACGATCTCTTCTTCGCTGCTGGGTTCTCCGGCAGGCGTGGTTTCCTTAACGAACTCTTCTTCTCCTGCGATGCTGGGAGGCAGGGTTCCAGGGACGACCGGTTCTTCTTCTGCGATACTGGCTTCTCCAGCAGGTGTGGTTGCCTTGACAATATCTTCTCCTTCTCCGCTAGCTTCCTCTGAAGATTCAGTGGGCTTGCCTGCCTCCGAATCATCGATTGCTGATGGAGCTTCAGTGGACTTCTCTTCTTCCTGTTCTTTGCTTTCTTCAGGAGCTGATGTGGCTTCCTCTGGCACTGCATCCGCTGCTGGAGCTGAAGTGGGCTTAATTTCCTCCTCTTCCTCGCCGCTTCCTTCAGTGGGCTTGGGCTCTTGTTCCTTCTCATCACTTGCAACTGGAGCGGAGGTGGGTTTGACTTCCTCTTCAGTATCTTCTGGAGCTGGTGTGGCCTTGGCATCCTTATCTTCTTCACCGCTTTCCTCCTCCGAGGATGTGGGCTTACCCTCATCTCCTTCCTCGCTAATAGTTCCGGCACTCGTGGGCTTAACATCCTCTTCCTCTGTTGGTGCCGTGGTGGTGGCCTTGACCACTTCATCCTCAGGACTGGCCTTAGCAGGAGCAGAAGTGCTGACCTTGATGAGTTCGTCTTCAGTGATTTCCTTCTCGGGAATCTCGACAGGCTTAGACACATCCTCTTCACCGCTACCCTCAGGCTCTGGGGTGGTCTTGACAATCTCTTCCTCGGCGGCTTCGGTGGATGATTCCTTAGATTCCTCGGTGGACGATGGTACATCGATCCTGGAATCAGAGGCAATGCCAGCGGTGGATGATTCGGGCTCGAAAGAGAAGTCCTTCTCGTCCGTGACATGGACTGGAGCAACGGTAGTGGCCTTATCCTTCTCCTCTTCTTCGTCCTCAACATCGCCGCTTCCCAACTCCGCAGAAGGAATATCAGTGGCGCTCTCCTTCTCCTTATCCTGTTCCTTCTCCTCGTCATCGATGTGCTCTTGCAGATCCTGATCCTCCTTGGGGATTTCATCATGAATACCCTTGGCTGGAACCGAAGTGGCGCTCTCCTGCGTGGAAATCTCAACAATTTCGGTGGTGGCACTATCATCCTCGCAGACATAGTTGCTGGGGCAGCACTCGCCCTCGGCAGCTGGCATGGCGCGACAAGACTTTCCATTGGCCGCCATCATTGGCACCTCGCACTCCTGGACAGCGCAAACGATATCTCCACGCATACAGTAGCAATGCTCACAGGCATTCTTGCCCTTCAGGGAGGCTCCATCGGCGTAGACCTCTCCATCATGGATACAGTCTGTGGTAGTTGGCGGCGTCATGGTGCTGGCCAGGATGAAGCCAGTTGTGGGGCGTACTGTGGTGGTGGTAGTAGTGGTCGACTGGTCCACAAAGTCCAACTCGTTTTCGTGGTCTGAAAAGAGGAAAGCGGGTGATAAGTTTATGGTTACAAAGGATTACTTTTCCCATATAGCTTACCGCAACTGTAGCGCACTGGGCAACAGGAACCCTTGTTATATATGGGCAGGCAGCCGTCCACGTGGAGAGTGCACTCCTGCATGACGCACTTGGTCTGGTTGTTGATGCAGTAGCAGAGTTCGCAAGGCTTGTTGGGATTTGATGGCACCTGGGCGCCTTCGGGGTAGAACTTCTCTTCGATGCTGCAACCGAACTTCTCGGGGATGCTCAATTCGGTACCGGGTTCCGGGGTGTGATAAGGCACATCCACAGGGACTAAATCAATCGCGAAATTGGCCATTAAGCACTGCGGTCTTTTGAAGACTCCTGCAAAGACTCACCTTCTGGGCAGGTGATGATGGGACAGCACTGGTCCTCCCGCTTCTCCACGATGCAGTCGTGGCCAATGGGCTTGGTGAAGGGGCAGACGCGCAGGTAGCACATCAGCATGCGGTTGTGGCAGGTGCAGTTCAGACACGGCTCATTGGTCATGATGCGGTCGCCCTCTTGGTAATGCGCATAGTTATAGTAGCAGCCTTCTGCAAAAAGAAACCAAGATAATTCGAGAGAGTGAGCTTTAGAAATCTGGGACGCAGCCTAGAGCCTGGGAAACTGATGTTCCTACTCTCAAAACAATGCAACTTTTCTGGCTAATAAATTCTAGACATAAGTTATGCAACCGGGGCATCTTTCATATTATACCCGTATGTGATTTTCATTTGAGATTTGTGCTACTGTGTCGTTCGGGCCATAAATCGGTGGCTTAGCGCCAGTTGGCTGTCATAATACGTGAAGCTATAGACAAATTTTTATTGCTCATCAGTGTCGTTAAACAAAAGTCAACTGTCGTCGTCGTTGAGTCTTAAAATATGCGCACGTCGTGTGTCCGTAAGTCCAGTGTTTCTGACTGGCTGCCTAATTTAGTGACGTCCACCCGCAATAAATTTCACATCACATCATTAACACGTTAAGCGCGCCAGTTTAGCCGGCTACTGTGAACCGGCTAGACCATTTTTTGATTGAAATCTCTGACTCTGTGTTTGGGTAGGGGTATGGGTAGGGGTATGGGTAGGGGTTTGGGTTTGAGTTTGAGTTTGTTTCTCTCTTGGGGTTAAGGGGGTCTCTCACTGCTCACGTTTCCAGCATAACTCGTAAAAAAGGCAACGCTTGTTTCTTTATGTTTCCATTTGTCTTCGCCATGTGTCTCTTCACACCTCGGCTAATGCGGCTTTATGACGGCGATTGGCTTGATAATTGGGCACCGATTAGCGGCTTATGACAAGCGGATAGCCAATTAACCATTTATGCCACCGAAACGATCAAAATTCAATTAAAATATTGATAAAATATATAAAAAGAAAAATGTAAGAGAGGGTGAGAGAGAGATTACTCAAATGCCATAAATCTTCCACTTCCGCCTTGTCGAACCAAAATGTAATCATCATAAAAACAGAACCGATCTAAATGCACTTTTATTAGGCTCCTGTTTTCTCGATAGTTATGGCTGCCAGTTAATCAGAGTTGCGGAATTGCAGGCTCTCAGACTTACCCGAATACTGTTGGATCTCCGTGTACTCCTGAACCGGGGCTGCAATGAGAGAAGGTAGAAGGAATCTTTATTATTTAATGAAATGCCATACTTGTTGTTCCCCCATAGAGGGGGAATTTTATGATGGCCATATCCGTTAGCCATCGTCATGACCATAATAAATTAATTTATCCATTGCCGCGAATGCCAAACTCTAATTGTGCCAGCATGCAATTGAAATTGGTAGCAGGGTAGCAGGGTATCTTGATACTTGCGTAGGCCAGGCTTTTTCTTAGCCTCTTGATAGCCTTGTCCGGCGTGATAACAGGGTCTTAAAGCCAAGAGCAACACCAAATTGCAGCAGGCAACATCAGCAGCAGCTTGGCTTGCCTTGGCTTTGTATGCGTGCAACGTGTTATTACCACATAATCAAAATGCAGCCTGGCTGCAACATCCAACATCCAACAGCAGCACTAAATCCAGGAAAAATGGCACGTAGTGGCCATTCTGGCCAAGAAAGCTGGCTGCGTGTGTCCCACACTGTAAACTGCACACTGCCCCCAGAGGGAAAAAAATGGCTCAAACAAATTGTCTAAGCTGACAGTTGGCCAGCAAGGCAAAGCTGTTGCTGCTGCTGTTGTTGCTGCCACTTGTTGCTGCAGAAATGATTTGACAAATTGCTGTTTTATGAATTGTTGCTGCTGCGCTGCTGCTGGCGGCCTCAACTTTGATTAATTGCGTCTAGTTGAAGGGTTGACAATTTCTCGAATATTTCACATTTTAATTTCCGCATACTTGGGGGGGCCACAGCAGTCCCAATGACTCGACTCTTTGCCGGGATCCACATTTAAATCGAAGGCAAACGCAAAGGTAAAGGCAATGGCAAAAATACCTGGCCCATACAATTTGTGAACAAATTGCAGGCGAAACAACAATGAAAATCCTAACGGCAAGTGCTCATAAGCATGAATTTGGACGCGACTAAGGCCAGAATCGAGAATCCAGAATCCAGACTCCAGACTCCGAACGGCAGCCACAAATCAGAGTAGCAATTTCGAACCAGAGAAGATGGAGGCTCCATCTCACTCGAAGCTAACGGATGTAAATTACATTTTATGCGGTAAGAACAACAACACGACCGAGCCTGGCAACGCATAAAAATTCACACATTAACTGTTAAGGATTGTCGGCGAGGGATCGAGGGAGCCCCCCCTTAGAGGGGTAGCCTCACCACTTGACTGAACTTAAGCCTTGGCACTGCGAAGTGCAGAATTTTGGCTTCGGACTTGGCAATGGGAGTCAATCATGTGGCCAGCAGCAGCAGCAGCAGTAGTAAGCCGTAAGCCAGCAAACCAAGACAATCCCCAGTTGCCAAGAGACCGACTGCCTTGTAATGTAAACTTATGCAACAATTTTGTGCTGCGCAAGTGCAACAACTAAAACAAGCCACATATACATCATCATTACGATGGGGACGCCTGAGTTGCTAGCTGGCAAAGAAGATGATGATGATAATGATGACTATGGTACACATCAAACATGGTCGTGTCGGTCCAACAAACAGAAGTCAGTCAGTCAGTTAGTCAGCCAAGTTGCTGCCGCTGCTGCATGTTGGTGGTGTTGATGTGGATGCAACAACAGTACACTGACCGAAAGAATCCTAACTAAGTTTATGAATGGATATGTGGCCTTTATAAGTCTATAGAAGTTTGAGTTTTAAGTCAGATAGATCATGATTTATGTTTCACCTTGCTACTTGCTTAGACATTGACTTTTCTCTCAGTGCTACATCAGCAAACTTGGCTTCTTCGTGTGCTCAAGCAGCCAAGCAGCCAAGCATCGGGCCTGGCCAAAGCCAAAGTTGTTGGCGGCTCTCGGCCGAGTCGTGCATTTTGTTTATTCTAGGAAAGCGCGCGCGCACCGCCTTCGCTCCTCCTGCCTCACCTGTTCCGCCTGCATCTCCTTGATGCCCCCGTTTCCCCACCCACCTGACCATGGCCATGGATTTCTGCTACAACAAGTTGAATGACCCGGCGCGCATGTGTGCAAAAATGTGTACACAAACCATAAAATACAAGACACAAGCACTGGCAGCCTTACTTACATAAGTAGGCCTAGGTGCTCTGGCTGTGGGACTCTGGGATTCTCTGGCCAAAGTCACTAAAGTCCCATGGCCTAAACCCAAACCAAAACAGCCAAAGCCAAACTTAGGCACGCCTTTTGCTGGTTACGCTTTATTATTTAGTGCTGTAGGTGGACTTGGCCGCCTCGGGGCAGTTGCGAAAAAGTGGAAGTTTTTCCTAAATATTCCCGTTGATAGCCAACTACTTCCAACCATTCCCCTTGACTAACTTCTGGCTATGCGGAAATGGAGGCGAGTGAAAATATTTGCCATGCCACAAATATTTCAAAGATTACAAAATAAACACAAATCTTCGCCGCCTTGTTGTCCCCAAATGCGTTGTCGTTGCCTCTTTTTTCTTTTCTTTTCTTTTTTTTTGTATTTTACCGCTATTCTGCAGCTGCAACATCAACAACTTCTTGACCACACCCACCTCGAGAAAGAGTTGGAATAGGAGGAGTACGACTGTGTCTTATAGCAATTTCTCACCCAGCCTGCCTGCGTTTATCTGGCTTCTAATTAGATGCAGCCAAAAAAAGAAAAACGAAAAACGAAAAGAAAAAACAATGCCCCACGGCAGAGGAGCAATAAATCGATCTGTAATTGCCAGACTCCTCTAGGTTGCAAATTTCCATTGCAGAAACAATTTCCATTTTCCCTGGCCTTGATCACATAATTTCCATAATGCCAAGCAGATCAATATGGAGTGAGCGACAAGCTAACAACAGACTGGGCTGCTCCTTCAGAACCCAGGCCCAGACTCCAGGCCCGTATCATGTCCATGCATCAATGCTGAAAGCAGCCGCCAGGCAGCAAGCAGCAGGCAGCAACATCAGCGGGCAACTAGCAACTAGCAACATCAGCAGGCGCCCTAACAATGCAACTGCAACTGCAACTGAAAAAGCGGCGGTGGAGGCCTTACTGGCAAATGAATTTGCGAGTAATTTAACATGATTATGTCGGCGACAAGGTAGCAATGTAGACATCGAAGCTGCTGATGCTGGTGCTGGATGCTCCTCGATTGCGGCCAAATTGGACGCAGTTGCGCAAGGCTAAAAAGACTAAGAAGGCTGGCTAGGGCGCTACCTTGGCGTGACGCTGTGTTTTATTACCAAACTGGTGGTGGTGGAGGCTGTTGGTTAGAGACCATGATTCCTTCTAAGTAAATTATGCCCGATGGTCATGATGCCGGGAATGGAGATGAGGATTGAGGATGTGGATGCCATGAAATTGCACCAGTCGAAGGCTGTTCTTGCTGCTTCTGCTGCCGGCATGCATATGAAACAATTACCAAGGCTAGGGCAATATCGGCGAGGTCTAGGCCTATTCCGTTCGTCTATATGTGGACATTGTAATTGCAGGCCAGCAGCTCACGGGCGCTCATGGGCTTATGGGCTCCTCGAGCCCATCTCATATGCATATTTATGGCCGGTTGCTGGGCTGGCTGGGATGGGTTATTCGATGTCATTAGAGAGTCAGAGCTTGGTATGTTTGTCAGTTTGTCAGGTCGGTGGAACAACTAGTATTCCTGACTGCTTAATAGATAATAATGAGTCTGGCCTTGGGCGCTGTAATTAAGCAGTTAAGGGCGGAGCCGAACGAGCCAACATTCTTTCCCACAGTTCCTAGATTCCTCCTAGGTATCCTTGGTAAAACGCCCTACAGTGCTCAAGTGTCCTGCCTTTGATTTGTTTTGATGGCTTTTGCATGGCTTTAATGAAGGCTACTCCCTCCTGCCAGCAATCAATCTGTCCGGCTGTCAGTATTCCACCAGACTTTGGTTAATCACAGTTTCTGGTTTCACCAGCTCAGAATCTCAAGAGAATCTGGTTGCGATTGGTCTGGGGCAAATATATCATAATTTTGTTTGCGCAATTTTTAAGACAAATTCTTATGGCCCCAATCGGCGGATGGGAGGAGAAGTTTTCGCAACGCTCCCCATTCAATTATTACACCGCTAGCTGTTATTGATAACAGCGCATTGATTACAGCAATTGCCGAAATAATAGACTCAACCAACGGGAGATTCCGATGCAGATTCAGATACGGATGCTGGGGAAGGAGATGGAGCTGCTGTTGCTGTTGCTGTTTCACCGACAGGTGATGGATGCCTAGGCCTCCATGGACCGTCCAACCAACAACAGACCGTTCCCGGCAATCAGCTAACAACAAGTTTTCCGTCGCGCATGCGTAACTGTTTATTAATTTGCACTGGAAAAACTCTCACGATTTGGTGTCCTTCCTGGCTGTTCTTCAGCCGCGATTCAATTAAGTGCCACTCTAAGAGCTAATTGCTCGCTGACTTTACTTTCCCGGTTCCCTGCTCCCAGTTCCCGCCTCCCTTAGTCGATTTGTATCTGGCATACTAGTATCTAGTATGTAGTATCTAAAATCTAGTACCTAGTATCTCCTCCCACGCTGGCATGGCATTTAGCTAATGATCGGACACCGGAGATAGTGCAGGTTCTTTGCCTTAAGTTCTAAGTTCTTTCTGGTTGCAGAAAGCTGCGTGTTCTGTCCCACAGCCAGCCGAAAGCCATAAAACTCAATGGCCCAGCTAGCTAGCTCGCACGGGCACTCCATACATCATGTGCAGAAGATCAGCAAAGCGATAATTATACAAAGTATTAGTTCAAGCGAGAGCGTCTGACTTGGCATGACCCGTCTCGAAGTTGGAGACGTTCGGATCGGAGATCGGAGATGGAGCAATGTAGCCATATGGGTAACGCTGGTCTGTCTGTGGTTGCCATGCGTAAAGGTGCCAGTGCCAGCTTGGCGAGTTGATTGAACCCGCCCGGGCGTTAGAATAGGGCTAGTGGCAGGGTCTAGGGCTAGCACCAGCTAGGGCTAGGGTTACACAATTGAAAGAGAACGCTCCCAGGCAGCCAAGTCATTGCACCTGCGATAGAGATCACTCTTTCTTCCCATCTCTTTACCC